CCCTCCTTTCCTCCCTCCCTTCCTTCCTCCCTCCCTTCCTTCCTCCCTCCCTCCCTCCTTCCTCTTCCTCCTTTTCCTCCTCCTTCTTTCTTTTTAGATAGGAAGCATTCCTTCCTGCGACAATCTGTAATATAACAAGGGTAATATTGTCAAGACAACAGAACATAATGTGCCATTATGAATGTAGAGAAAGGGGCAGTGTGTCTGTTTTTATTTCAAAGTTATTTACCTTTAGCCATGGTTAAATCCTAGTGTGCTTCCCAGGCTTCCGAGTCTTCCGAGTTAGGATTTCAGCTGCCTGTGTCAGCCCTGATTTTTTTTTAATCTCCTTACCCAGCCTTGGCCTAGGTGTTGTCTTAGATATTCCAGTAGTCTAACATCATAGACTACAAAAGAACATGAGCCATGCTTTATGGAGTGTCCTGGCCTCACGTATGGGAAGTACTTAAACACTTTTTAAAACTGAAAAATATAAAGATAGAATTTACATCTTCATTACACAAAGAAGGTGCAAAATAATCCACTTGAACTTTTTGCTGTTCTACTGAAAAATTAACCTGTAAACACAAAATTTTTAATTGAAAAAACAAAGAAACTCTCATGTTTATTCATTAATTCAACAGATGTTTATTAATTGTTTATTAATTGAATTACCCCACATGTCCTAAACAATGAGCTGGGATCTGAGGACACCATGATGAACATGACTAATAAGGACGCTCCCCACAAAGTTTAGAGTCAATGAGAAAGGCAGATGAGCAACAACAGTAATAAAGTTAGAAGATTCTCATGATAGAGAGTGCCTGGAACATGGTAGATGTAGCATTAAAATAAAATAAAGTTGAATGAGTGACCAAATAAATGAATTAATGAAGGAGTGGATAAATGAGTATTGGACACATAGCAGAAACACATCTTTCTCTCCAGTGGGTGACTAGGGAAGTCTTCCTAAAGGGGGAAAAAAAATGTTTAAGCAGTGGCTTTAAGATGTTAGCCTGGAAAATAGGAAAAAGTGTGCTTGAAGCAGAGGGAAGCTTATGTGGGAAAGTCTGAAGGTGAAGGAGAACCCACTGGGTTCGAGGGACTACTAGAGGTTGAACAGATTGCAAAGGGAGAAGTGTTAGAGGCAGCTTGAGATGTGGGAGGGAGCCAGGATGTGCAGAGTATTATAAATCCTCCTTTTGGGGGTTGAAATGACTTAAAGGGCCCAGAGTTTCAGAAATGAGCCCAGTGTCTATAACAGTAATGAAATGAACTTCAAGGCTGTAATGAATTGACTACAGCGTTACAGTCTCCTGCTGATTCTTTTACATTATTTATTAGGATGAACACTGGTAAAAATCAGAATGTAAAGATGATATAATATTTTCAAGCTGAATCTACAGAAAACAAGTTCTGTTCTAGTGGAATTTTGTTAAATGGAGTACATTGCAAAAAATTCTAACCCCAAAGACAATGAGACCAGGCTGTAAAAATAAAGTCAATACTTTTATTTAAAGAATTGGTAAAGAATGCAAGAATAAAAGAAAAAAAAACTTGGGAAGAAACAAAGTGTTAAGAATTACCCCACATTTTCCCCCATCCTCTTTCTCCTGGATCTTCTAAGTGGTTTTAGTTTTATTTAAATGGGTGAGCTGGGAGTTCTAAAAAAGCCTCCCCTATCTACTCAAAATCCTACTTTTAGAATGTCTGAGGTGGGATGGGGTAAGGGAGTGAAAGCGTTTTATGGACAAGGAAACTTCTAGTTTGTCTCACATAATGAATTATTCAAAAATATTTCTTGAAGGCCTATTCAGTATTTCACTAGAATGTTTCACTATTCTAAATTTCTCTCTGTCCCTAATTCTAATCTAAGGAAATTTGTGCCCCTTGAACAAAGTTTCTCGATATCAAACTATAACTATTATTAATAGCATTACTTTATGTCATTCAGAAGTATTGTGTAGTATGTTGGAAATAAAACGAAGTAAGAGAAACTGGCTTACATACCTTACATCAAGCTAGTACTTTTGTGGATTATTCAAACAATACAATAGGTGAAAATACCATACTTAATTATTTGACACAATATCTTACATTTTCTAAATGCCTTAAATAGTTTTATTTTCTGATGCTCTGCAGCTCAAAAAAGAAAGCAAACAGACTACAATTGTGATTGCAATTGTAAGAAGGAGTTGAGATGTGTAGACCAAATTTTTGAACAGTAAACTATCTGGGAATTATTCAACTTATAAATACTACTTTGGATATTATTTAAATGTAAATTTTACAGTAATGTATTTTTATTACTATACCGAGACATTAACTTATTGAATAACAGCAATGTATTCTTCCATAAATTCTTATTGGAAAGGGTTCCTTTCAGGTGTTGGGAAACTTCTAAAATTTGACAGAGTTAAAGTTTAGCCTTTATAGCATCTATACAAAAAAGGTTTAGCCTTTATAGCATCTATGAAAAAAAATTTTTAAGCCACTCTAAGGCATAATTCCAGGGATTTCTGAATTTTTCAGTGAATTGTTAACATTCACAGATGGGATAAAGGGGATGTGGCATTTTCCTCTCCTTTAAATTAGGCCTTTTTAAAAAAAAAAAACAGAAAAACATTGAAGTGCTTTCCTCTTTATTTCACATACTTATAATGCTTTTAAGTGTCTCTACTGGACTTAATAATGCACTGATTAACTCTTTCTTACAATTATTAATTATTACCATCATAATTAATCTCTGGATTCAGGAAGAACTGTTCTAGCTCAGGGATATACCCCCGCCTATTTTGTGCCTCAACTATAGATTGAGCTACAGTTTGAGCTATAGAAAAACAGCCCCAACAGCAAGGCATGTTGTAGCTGAGGCAATAATTTAGAATAGGCTAAAAGGTGGGTTTCTGATCCCAATTTAAATGACTGCTTTATAAATTTACATTTTCAAACATTGCTATTTGCATAGAAATCAATGATGCAAAATCACTAGGAAGAAAAATAGTTACTGGCAAAACTGACTTTAAGGTAGTTAATATTTTATTTTACTTTAAATGTTTCAACATTTAGACCGTGAACATGAGAATTTGACTACAGTGTACATTACTTTAACTTTCACATACTTTTTGATTACTTATGGCATATTTCAGCCATCAGTCAGTAACTGAATTTCTACTTAAATCTTATTCTGAATTGTTCCAAAGCCAAGTGGCTTCAGGAGATCTGAACCGTCAAATATGGAAAGCATCTGCCTGGGAAACGACTTGATCTGGCAGGACACAGGGCAGCCTCTACCCTCTGTCCTTCTGTGAATGCCTCCATTGTCAGGCGTGATCATGAGGATTTCGTGTGGGCGGAGCCTGAGGACACTGTAGACAAGGCAACCGCTTACCCTCATGGACCTGACGCCTAAAGGCAGTGGGTTTTTTTGAACACTACGTAGCAATTGCTGGTGCTTAAAAAACAAACTAACAAAGACTTTACATGTTAAGGACTGCATCAAAGCTTTAACCTATAAAAATAGTAGTTGATTAATTTTGGACCAAAACTGATATACTAAGACTTCTGCAATCTCATAGAATCTTAAACTCTTAGAACTGAAAAGTGGCTTCTGGTTCTAGTCTCTCATTTTGTAAATAAGGAAAGGGGGCCCCAGATAACTTAAAAGATGGAAAGAAATACAAAGAGTAATAGTGCTTATGTTAAGGGATGTAGAAATACGGGTGGTTATTTTTTTTCTTATTACCACTATGTCTCTCTAGTGGTGATAGTATTTTTATAATGACGAAAAGTATTATCTTAAGTGCATGAAGCAAATACAAGAATCCTTTTAAATCTGCCTTCCACCTTTTAGGCTGATTCTGCTGAGAAGCTTAGGGAATATGGGCTTTCCCACACCTGTAGCCATCCTGTGCTGGTGACAAGAACTAGGTCTTGCCCGCTTATAGCACCACCAAAACTACCTCCTATACCTCCGTGGAAACTCCTTCGTCAAAAAAAGGAAACTGTTATAACAGATGAAGCTCAAGGTATGAATCATATTGTCTGAAAATCTTATTAACATTTCTCTCTATGAAGTTCTAATAGTTTCATTTGTAATGAGATACATATCAAGGCAAACAACTCAACATTACAGTTAAAACCTTCATTTAATTTTATGTCCGAATTTTATGTCTTTAAAGGATTAATTCTGCACATCTCAGACGCCAAGCAGTTTGGTTTTCATGTCTAAACTGGCCAGATATATAAAGGCCATTCTTTGGGTGATGGCATTGTGATTATAACTGTGATAAAAAAGTGGTTTGTAGTAAATAACATAGAAGGTTAAGTAGCATATACGTTAGACCACTGGTGTGAATTTCTAACATGGGCATCATTCTACAGTGCCCTGTAGGACATAATCTTTGAATTGACTGATTTCTGTTTGAAACTCGTATAGGAATAGGACTTTTACCCTGGGCTGGTTCCTGTGTCAGTGTTGTCATGTAGCCACAGTGAATGGCAGTTGTGCTCAGAAATACACAGGTTCACACAGGTTGAGAATGGGGCAGGGAGACTGTTCCCACCTTGTTCTTATTCTCACCTTTTATTTCTAAATTCCTCATAATCCATGTCTAATTCTTCGCTCCTTCAATCATTTTCTCGACAAGTCTTCATTTTTACTCCTTTTTCCATGAGCACCACGTTTGAATGGAAGAGAGACCAAGATGGCGAGAGAAGAAATGAGCGAGACCATAAATGAAAAATCAGAAGGAGAGGGGATTAGAAAAGAAAAACTAATAATTAAAAAATTATTGCTTAGAGGAATAACTTAATTTGTTTATATTAATTCAGCATAAACATATGGCCTTTCCGTAGCTAATTTATACTTGCGATTTTTAATGAAGGGTGATAGAGAATTGTGGTGCTATGGTTTACATATGTATATGTGTGTATGTGTGTATATATATTTCCCATTCCGAAAAGTTTAAATTATCTTTGTTCAAAAACAGCTTTTTTTGTTATCTTTTTTGTGTTCATTTCCTTGCTTTCGCATTTTCTTCCTTTGTCTTTTCCAATACCTCAGTATCTTCTAATTGTATCCATCCAGTAACAGGTCATCACATTCTAGAAGTTATTGCATTAGGGTTCACAGGCCTGTCCTTGAATGAACAATGAAGACAAAGCCATGATGAACATACCTAGTGCCAGTTTACTAAAGGCATCCCCGAGAAGCATATAAATAAGCTTTAAGTGGTTGGGCTCATGAACCATGGCTTGTACCCTTATTGATGGTGCTTGCTGTGGCTTCTGCTACCAATTCAAGTGTTGCTGATCCTTCAGTGCAGGGGAGAGGAACCATATTTCAGTCACAGGGTAATACGTAAGTCTCATTGGTACTCAGGATCCTAAAACCGCATTAGCCACAGAGATTGGAGTATTTACCTGTTCCTTGCCTCCTACTTCCAACCATAATTTACACGTTTTTAAGATATAAATAACAACTGTTAACCATGTAATTTTCCTCACATTTGCTTTCTGCCTACATTTATACAACCAGTACAGCTGGTGGCAAAGATTTTCTAGCACAACATGTTTTTATCCTGGCCAGAAAAGAACAAAGATTAAAGAAATATCTGGTTTAGATATACAGGAGAAATGGTCAGTTCATCTTTTTTTTTTTATTAGACTTGTCTGCCTCTCTCCCTCCTGCTTGATTATTTCAGTTACTTCCTTACATTCCTTGAGTTTCTGCAATGGGCTGTTTGTGCCACCAAAGTGCCAACTGTTGCTTTGGATTCCAAGAACTTTCCAGTTTCCTCCCTCCCTCCTTCCCTTCCCTCCTTCCTTCCTATCTTCTTCTGTCTTTCCAACCAAAGATCAGCATTCACATGATGCTTGAAAGAAAATCTTTTACTACTGAATGCTATATTTTAGTTAAATGCATAGAGCCACACAACCGTTCTTCATTCAGAACATCAGGAATAGCTGAATGAAAGGAAAAATACTGAGCATTCAGCTACTTCCTGATTTTGATATTGACTGTTGTGTAATTCTGTGTAATTTGATAGCTCCATTGTAAGCTGGGAAAGAAAACCTACAGATTGATGGGATTCCATAACCACAGTGTCCTCCTTTGAGGCTCACCACATCATTGTCTTTCTTCTCTCTATTGGATTTAATATTTAAAGTGAAATTAACAGGAAACAGAGAGAGAGAGAGAGAGAGAGAGATCAGTATAGAGGTTATCACAGAACAAGCACAGAGAAGTCATGTGCACTGTGTCATAGTCTCACTTCTCTTCGTCCTGTGGTCATCCTTTCCACTGCTATAGGAGCTTATTTAAAATAATTATGCCTAATGTTTAATTTCAATGTTCACCGTGTTAGTGCATGGGTTGTGTGCTATATCCATTGAGAATTTACTTCTATGTCAGCTTCAGACGTCTTTAGGAATACCCACAACATTTTTCTTGACTACTGCTTTCTTTTCTACTTATGACCTTTACTTTGTTACATTTTCTGTTCTTCCACTACCTCCATGTATTAGTCCACATTTTTTCATGTCCTGAGCAATTGTGTTGTAGAGGTTAACTAAAAGAACACATTTTTAGTAAAAGACTTTTATAGAAAGTCTTTTGTGTATGTGAAATAGCAGCAAATGCCAAGTAATAACTCTAGGAGACACTGCTGACTTTCTCCCTTGAGACTTCATTGTTTCACGTTGTAAATCTGGAAAGCAACTGAGAAGTAGACTAAAGAAATCTCATATTGGTAGGATCTATAAAGTCCTTTTTAATACAAAACTTTATGTATCGTAGTACATTTCTATTTAACTCTATTGAAGTTTGCTGGGTAAATAGTTAATCTAATCAGTACTGCATTAAATGTCAAATTTTACATATAATCTTGGAAAATTTTTAAAAAGTACATCACATTACCTTTTTCTTTTTAGAATTAGTAGTAAAGAAGCCTGACCAGTTTCTTGAGATTTCAAGTCCATTTTTGAATTATAGAATGACTCCATTTACAATCCCAACAGAAACGTAAGTATAGAACATTCTTTCCCATGAATTCATCTTGTTAACAGATGAAGCATTTTGTGATTTGTGCAGTTAAAAATGTATCCCTTGGTGACAAATGTATTAAAGTTTGTGTCAATGCACTGATCATAGGAAAATAAAATTTTTAGGTACTATTTCACAGTAATAAACAGTTAAGATAAATTTTGAATTGTTCGAAACGAGGCCTAAATATGTCTGGCTTTATAGTTTTGGCTTCTGCTTCAGAACAACACAGTATTTTGTTATACTTTAAACATTAGCACTGGGGAATGTTTCTGGTTATTACCTGATAATTAAATCACAAGATCAAATGATTGTCATAAAAACCTGGGAGATGAAGTCTGTCACTCTTAGAGGAGAAAAAAAGAGCTAACTAAATACAACAGCAAAGACAATGAAGAAGAAAAAGGAGGAAGGGGAGGAAGAATCCAAATTTACTAATATTTGAATGTGACAATAGGGGTAGAAATAAAAATTATCATCCTGGGTCTAACGTTTTTAATGAGTTCATAGTGGTGAAAAGGAAGTCCACAGATAGCAATAATGAGAAGGAATAGTGGGTGATACGATTATTACCACTAAAAGTGTGGTGATTTGTTATGAAGCAATTGACAACTAACACATGAATATATACATAATCAAGGATTATCAAATCTATTCTTTAAACTTGTGCAGTTAAATGTACTTCAATAATCCCTCAATAAAGTTGTAAAATATAAAAATAAATACTAGTATTTAAAATGGTTTAAAAAAATAGGGATTCTAGAATCAAGGAGTGTAATAACTGAAATTTTAGAATTCAGTGGATGTGTTTAATCACAGATAAGATACAGCAAAAAAAAGACAATTAGCAAAGTGGAAAATAAGTCAAAAGATAATATCCAGACTGAAGTATGGAGACCAAAAAAAAAAAAAATGAGGAAAAGTATAATAAAAGACATGTAAGAAAAGTTGAAAAAGACCAACATACTTGCAAGTGGATCTCAGAAGTAGAGGAGAGTTTGGGGATAATCATGAAATAAAAATATAATGGCCAAAATTATCCCAAAAGTTAAAAAAAATCAAGTCAAGATTCAGCAAGTTCTGAAAAAAAGTCAAGTAATGTAAATGCGGAGAAAACTGCAGCTAGATAATCATAGTAAAACCATAGACAAACATAATACAATAATATATAGATATAAAGCAAAAGAAATACTGCAAAAAAATCAGCATGGATAAATTTCACACACAAAAATATTAGACCAAAGTAATCTGGTATAAAAAGTATACAGTTTAGTTTTAATTATTCTATTAATATAGATTTTAAAAAGAAAAGAAAAAGCAACATATGGTGTTGGAAGTCTTGATAGTGGTTACCTGTGGCGAGGAGTGCTAGCTGTGATTGGGAAGCATGTCTGGCAGGGCTTGTGGAGTGCTGGTAATATTAATATCTCTTGATCTGAATCTGAATATCTCTTGATCTGATATGGCCATATTTACTTGGTGATTTTTCAGCAAGTTTTACATTTATGATGTGTATACTTTTTTGAATTTTTTTTTAAACTTTACTAGAACGTTGTTAAAACTTTTGAACGGCTGACAGGTCACAAATATAATGACAATTAGATGTGTTTCATCCTCCTCTTGGATATATTAAAATCCACGATAAGAATATAAGCTGATGGGGCTTCCCTGGTGGCGCAGTGGTTGAGAATCTGCCTGCTAATGCAGGGGACACGGGTTCGAGCCCTGGTCTGGGAGGATCCCACATGCCGCGGAGCAACTGTGAGCCTGTGAGCCACAACTGCTGAGCCTGTGCTCCTCAGCAAGAGAGGCCACAATAGTGAGAGGCCCGCGCACCGCGATGAATAGTGGCCCCTGCTTGCCACAACTAGAGAAAACCCTCGCACAGAAACAAAGACCCAACACAGCAAAAATAAATTAATTAATTAATAAACTCCTACCCCCAACATCTTAAAAAAAAAAAAGAATATAAGCTGATGAATAAAAGCAATCAAAATTTAGATCAGAATTCTGTTCATTGTACTGTCCTACTTTTAGAGCTTCTTTACATCATAGCCTGTTAATTTAAATTTTATGGACACTAGTTAAGTTGAAAATATTAGAAACATTATTCAAATGTTTGAACTTAAGGCTCCTGCAGTTCTATGCATCAACGATTAAACACTGAAAAGTGGGTGAAGAGGGACCCCCTAGGCAGCACTAGTAGACAAACATGGCATTTAGCCATGTCAAGCTTTATAAACAAAAAAAACAATTTGCTGCTTCTTTGGTTTTAAAAATTTGTTCTGTTATGTATTTGCAAATCTAGTTTTCCTCAAACTTTTATTTTAACTTATAAAAAATCTTATTTTATACATAAATTATTAATTTCTATAAAAGTTTTAAATAAATTTAGTTAGCTGAATTTAAACATTTTAAATTGCATTTACAACAGTACTATATATTATTTTTGCTTTAAGTAATTCTTGAAAAGGCAAAAATCATCACAAAATCTTGACAATTATATAAATCATCATTAAAAGTTCAAATAATCAAAATGTTTTTTGGTAACCTTGGTTTTTCCTATGTACACTATTGGTTTTTACAAACCAAAATTTTCTTATACCTATAACTTAATTATAAACCTAAAATTAAATATAAAGCTACACATTTTATAGCCTAATTTGTTGGATTATGTAACATGCTACACTTCTTTCACCTGTTACAAATACAAAATACCACATAAAGACAATTTTCTTAAACGTAACATAAAAATACTAATGCTTTATACTTTTTCCAATTAATTTTATAGTTAGTGTTATCCACTAAGATGATGATTTTACCATATTCCAAATAATTTTTGATTATCTCTTAGCTTACTGAGATTGCATATTACTCAAATATTTTGCGGATTGTATGAACCAGAGCTGCATACCACCAGGACAAATTTTCTTAGGATTCAAACTGTCACACGCAGGCTTCTAGAATCCCTATGCCAAGAGAGACCACAAATGCGTTGGTTTCATAACCTGAACTTCCGACGTTGACTCTCTTACTTAATTTTCGTATGCTTTCTTTCAGCGTTTTTACCTAATTAAGTTGCATGAAATTCTTTAACCCAGGTCTAGGTGACTTCAACACTTGATTGGATTCAATCAAGTGATTGGATTCAGTGAACTAATCTATCCACTGCTTGAACCTGTTATGAATTCCCTAGTATATCCATTTTATCTGGCAGAGCCCAAAGCAGAAATATGTGAATGGCATTTCCTTGCACCTGACTGCTGGACAGTCAGAGTTCTCAGGTCAGCATAAGAGCAAAGCCGTTTTTTTGGCGAGCCTTGGATTATGAGTGCTACACAATTGCCTTTCCTTGGAACACTGTCACTGTAGTAACAACATGCCCCGTTTGCCCAGTCCTGGCTCCTGGCCTTGTTTTAGAGAATCAGAGCCTCACAGATATGTTTGTGCTACCCTCTAGTGGCAGTTTCAGAGACACTTAGCTTGAGGTGAACCAAGTTTTACAGAACACTAGCAAGGAAAAATCCAAAAGTATGGGAAGTTCTGTATACATGAAATTTAATTTTATCTTTGAAACACCTAATATATTTGTACTATAACAAATATCTTTTTATTGTACCCATAAACTTCTAGCTGTGGCAACACTGATTTGGGGTCATGTCAGCAATAACTTGAAAGAAAATACTGTACACTTGGGTAGCTAGTATAAATATCACAGTTGTAAGGGCTCAACATGCATCATTAAATTTTTGACTCCAAGCCCTATTTCACTGCTACATTACTCTGATACTTAATTAAATCACTTCTAAATGCCAGGTTCCTATGTGTTCTGATCATCAACATTCAAAGATGGCCACCATAGCTTTAAAATAAATAGCATTCCAGAAAAGTTTTACACCATTGCAGTGACTGATAGAGGATATTGCTCCAGTAGTATATAGAGCAATTAAATATTTTTTAACATGAAGCAAAATAAATCACTGGTTGTAAAAGAATGAGAATGATAAAATGAAAAAAACCAGAACTTCCTATTGTTGAGCAAACATCACTATGCAACGGAATATTATTCAGCCATTCAAAAAGAAGGAAATCTTGCCATTTTTGTGACAACATAGATGGACCCTGAGGACATCTCAAGTGAAATAAGTCATACAGAGAAAGACAAATACCATATGATCCCACTTATACGTGGAATCTAAAAAAGACAGACAAGCAAACATACTCATAGATACAGAGTACAGGAGAACAGACTGATGACTGCCAGAGGCAAGGCATGGGGGTGGATGAAATGGGTGATGGGGGTCAAAAAGTACAAACTTCCAGTTGTAAAATAAATAAGTCCTGGGGCATAATGTGTAGCATGGTGACTATAGTTAATAATACTGTGTTGTATATTTGAAAGTTACTAAGAGAGTGGACGTTAAACGTTCTCATCACAAGGAAAAAAACTGTAACTGTGTGTGGTGACCTACGTTAACTAGAATAGTGGTGATCATTTTGCCATATATACAAATATTGACTCATTATGTTGTATACCTGAAACTAATATAATTTTATATGTCAAATATATCTCAATAAAAGCTGCAGTTATTTATTAGTAGCTTTAAACAAGAGATTAAGATAACAGAAGTTTTTTTCTTTTTTTTCCATTAGTCATTTTGTACGAACTTTGATTAAGAAAGGGGTGCTTCCAGGATCTGGTTTATCTTCCCTTACTGAAAATGATGAAACTACAACCTTTAGCCAGACAGACTTAAGTCAATTGACAAGAAATATGTCTCAGGTAACTATGTTACTCTTATTATTAGCCTGATTCTTAACTATAAAAAATTTTTTTCTTAAATTGTGAAATATATTATACATAAATGCATTTGAGCAGAATAAAGAATACTGAAACTAAACTTCTTACGTACCCATCTTCTAGATTAGAAAGTGGAATATTCATCTCTCATAGATGTCTCCTGTGTTCTCTTTTTTGGGGGGGTGTGCACTGCATGGCATGTGGGATCTTAGTTCCCCAACCAGGGATTGAACCCGTGCCCCCTGCAGTGGAAGCACAGTCTTAAACACTGGACCACCAGGGAAGTTCCACATGTGTCTCTCCTGAATTGTGTCTCCTATCTGCCATACAAGGTCTGGTATTTGTCAACTCCATGCTCTTCTAATTTTGTCAGTTATGTACACGTTTATGAACAATATATAGCTTGGTTTCATTGTCATCCTCATTTTATTTTTGTGGGCTCTTGTATTAATTCTTCTGGGATTTCTTAATGTTGCTTATGAGATTTGTCTCTTTTGCCACATGTTACAGTTCATTCACTTCACTGGCCAAAGATATTTAATACATAACTAGTCTACCATTTAAAAACATCTTTCACAGTGTTAATGGCTACATTCATTGCTTTTTGTTTCCTGCTATTGCAAGCAGTGGTACCATGACTCATCTTGACTGTCCCTGTACACACATGCAAGAGTTTCTGTAGTTCCAGGGTTTGTGAACTTTTCTGTGTTATGTCTCCCTTTGTCAATTTTCTAAAACACATGATGAATACAACTTATCTCTTTCTGCATATGAGCTGAGTATTGGCAACAGGGAACAGTGGAAAGCAGAACAGCTGTCTGGGTTAGCACCGTGTGAACATACAACTTCACAATTTGGTGGTTGAAGGTATACTAAAGGATAGCTCCCAGATAGTTGGGCAGTTCAGGTTACAAGAGTGTCTGTAGACAGGAAGATGTGACCACATGGAATCTGACAATGGGCCTAATAACTGCTGTAACTTCAAGCATATGTGACATTTTGGATTTTGTGACAACTCTAATATAATGTAAAATATTGTGATATCTTTCATGGATAAAGTCACAGTTATTGCCAATAACACTGTAGCTGCTCACCTGCATTGATAAATTGAAAACTGAAGAAAACTGAATGCTGAACTTCAGCTAAAGATGAAAATAATCTTTCAAGCAACCATGTTCATGGATTCCTAAAATCTAACCATGGGCCCCAGTGCATACTAGCCTAGGAAGCTCTGTTCTAGGATATGAATCTGGGAGCATCACTGATGGGTCATAGGACATTCACCTTTTAACCTTACAATAAAATGCACTGGATGAGAATTTTCTCTGCACCACATTCTGGCCAACCCATATATTGTCTGATGTTTCAACTTCTGTCAGTGTGGTAGGTGGGAAAGGGTTTTAATGCATAATATATTTGCATGTTCAAAAATAAAATTATAAGGCACACATCAAGAATTCTTGTTTCCATGTAAGTACTTCTCCCACTTTCACTGCTTTGCCCTCTGTAGGACACTTTCAGGGTGTCTTTATGTAAATGTAAAGAAACACACAATATTCCACCTTTTTCTACTCAAAACTTAATGAAATTTTTTAAAGTTTTTACTTAGTAAATACTGGAGATAATTTCACTATGCCTAAAGAGCATCTTTATTCTTAAAGTCACATACTCTTTCATTATGTGAATGAACCATAGTCGATTTCTACCAACCTCTATAAATGGTATAAGATACATTGGAGGGCAGAGAATCACACGCAGGTAAACACATTTTTTAGAATTAGTTGAAAAGGAGAGACTAACAGATGAGAAATCTTGCAAGAAGAATGAATAGACTTAAACATTGTTAAACTTTTTTTCTTAATTTCAAAGTATTGTATGCAATAGTTTTAAAGAGTCAAAAGTTACCAAAAAGATAATCATAAAATAACCAACCTGTATTACCCCTCCTCATTCTTTAGCCTTCCTCCCCAGAGTCAGTCACTTTTATTTAAGTGTTTCTTCTGCTATGTATCTCCATATTTCTAAGTAAAAGGCTTTATGAAGGCAGAGATCTTGATCTTTGTCATATACTGTTTCTCCCTCAGCACCTGCAAAGATGCCTAGCACGTGACAGACACTGTTACGTATTTGTTGAATGGCTGAATTCCGCTCTTTCTCCATCTATCAATTAAACATTATCTCTTGACCTCTTGATACAGAAGATAAGGATTTAGCACTCCTGTATTCGCTTACCATCCCATACCTCCACTTTCCTCTGTCTTCAAGATTTTTTCATTTCACAAGTTTTTGTCCAATCAGTACTCTAGCTGTGAGGCTGGATACCAGAGCAGACCCCGTTGAGATTTCTTGAGCTGTTACGTAATGCTTCTCACCTAATAGGGATGAAACTGTTGGGAAAGCTAAGAGTTCTACAAGCCGTAACAGCTGGAGCCCCAACGGTGGAAATGAAGGGCTCTGCATTGTGGCTTGATTGGCAGGATCTCTGACTGAGATGCCCACTGCCCCCCTGGGAGTCTCAGTGCCCCTTGTATATTTCCCAGGCCTCTCACAGGTCTGGCTCCTGGCTCGTAACTGGGACTGGCTGCATAACTTGTGGAATGAAAATGCAGGGCCCCTTGTTCAACAGTTATTAAGAATGTCAAGAGAGTGACAGCAGAGCATTAAAACAAACACAGGGCCCTTCTGAGCCCAGCGCCCTGAGTGATCATACACTCCTGAAGCCGGCCCTGCTCTATAAGCTTGCCTTCGACACACAATCTGGCTGATAGACCGCAGGCATTAGTGACGTGTGCCATTTCAGACCGAAGCACTTAATGAGTCTGCACGTGGCTTTGCAGCTCTCTGCTTCTCCCACAACCATCAGGAAACTGTGTATCCCGGTGGCAAGGCTACAAGATACAAGTTTCTAGATCCCTACATCACAACTGGGAAAGGAATCCCTTGAAAAGGAGCCCCCCAAAATGGGCTGAATATGAGGGAGAAGTTAACCCTATGTGTTAAGCCATTGAAATTTCAGGATTGGTTTGTTATCTCAGACTAGCCCAGCCTAATATAGTTCATGTTTTTAAACAGCAAAATTACCCTACCTTTGCCCTTAAGACAGATACAAATATTAGGGACAATAGGCCTGTTTTCAGACTTTTCTTAGGAATTAATATTTAGTGCAAGTCAGGCATTAATTATTTACCTGTTTCCTTTTCAACCTTCATCATTACTTCAAGCTGTAATAGAAGGATGGTAATAAAGAAAAGTATTCTTCCGTTAAAAAATATTCTAGCTGTGGAAGGATTTTTATTGGAGAGACAAATTTCTTTTCTTACACAACTTTTTGTACAAACCAATTACTTCATTTTTTTTCTATGACACATTAGGAAGCCTTCCCAAACACTCTTTTTTAAGAAAAAGGAACACCATTGAACAAATACCTTTAAACCCCATTTACCACACAAACACATCAGATAACTCTACCAATGCCACCTGTTTTCCTGGAGATATCACCCTCTGGAATCCTTTGCTCTCTTGCTCTTGTTCCAACTGGTGGAAACTTGCACCTGTCATCATTGGACTTTCTTTTCTCTCTCTCCTCTGATGGGTTTTCTAATTCTTGGAAACGATGCTCTCCTGCTACTTGATACCCTCATTTAGGTGGTGCACATCTTCTAGTACTCCCTGAGAAAAACTGCGTGGAAAGTGAAAATGATGAGGGGTTCGTATGCCTGCAGATGTCTGTATTCCACCCCCTCCCCTGGTTTATATTTTGGCGTGTTGTAGGATTCCAGTGTGGATGTTCTTTCTTTCAGAATTTTAACTCTGTTCCTTAACTTTTGTCTTTTACCTTCAACCATTGCTCTTAAGAATACAGATAACATTTTGATTCTTGATCTGTTCTGTATGACTCTTTTTTTCCCCCTCTGGGAATGTTTTAAGACATTCCTTCCATTCTTGGAATAAGAAAAATTTACAGTGATTGGCCGCGTAAATGAGTCTGTTTACATGAACTGTGCTAGGTACTCCATGAGCCCGTTCAACCTGGATACTCAAGTTTTTCAGTTCTGCAAAATTTTCTTATACTTTTTCCACAAGAATTTCCTTTTCTGAGAACAGTAATACTGAGTACATTCACACTGCTGTGCCGCTAACCTCCAGAAATCATTTCATCTACAAAACTAAAACTTTACACCCATTAAATCATTCTGCATTCCTGACCCTTTTCAGCCCCTTAAAACCGCCATTCTACTTTTTGTCTCTAGGATTCTGATTACTCTAGGTACCTCATATAAGTGAAATCATACAGTATTTGTATTTTTGTGGCTGGCTTACTTCACTTAGTAAAATGTCCTCACAGTTCATCCATGTTGTACCATGTGTCATAATTTCTTTCCTTTAAGGCTGAATAATATTCCATTGTGCATATACATATACCACCTTTTGTTTATCCATACATCCATCAATGGATACTTGGTGAATAATGCTGCTATGAACATGGGTGTATAAATGTTTCTTTGAGATGCTGCCTTCAGTTCTTTTGGGTATATACTCAGATGTGGAATTGTTGGATCATACGTTAATTCTATTTTTAGCTTTTTCAGGAACCACCATACTGTTTTCCATAGCAACTGCACCATTTTATATTCCCACAGAAAGTGCAAAAAGGTTCCAATTTCTCTACATCCTCACCACATAACAGTAACAATAACACTTGTCATTTTCTGTTTTTTTTCCTTTTTTCTTTAACAGTAGTCATCCCAGTGGCCGTGAGGGTAGTATCTCATTGCAGTTTTGATCTGTATTCCCCTAAGGATGAGTGATGTGGAGGACGTTTTCCATGTGCTTGTTGGCCATTTGTATATTTTCTTTGGACAAATGTCTATTCAAGTCCTTTACCCATTTTTAAATTGGGTTTGTTTATTTTATATTGTTTTTGTAGAAGTTCTTCATATATTCTTGATGTTAACCCTTTACTAGACATATGAGTTGCAAATAATTTCTCTCATTCCATAGGTTGCATTTTCACTCTGTTGATTATGTCCTTTGAATGACAGAAGATTATTTATGTAGCCCTATTTATTTTTACTTTTGCGGTCTGTGTTTTTATTGTCATATCTAAGAAACCAATGTCAAATCCAATGTCGTGAAGATTTTTACCTATGTTTTCTTTGAAAAGTTTTTTAGTTTTCGTCTCTGAGTCTTTTGTATCAACTTTACATCCAAACTTTCTATTGAATTTATTTCACTTTCCTATTTTTAGTTTCCAAGAACTGTCTCTTGTTCTTGATTGTATTTTTATAGTTTATTTGATAAATGAATATCTTCTTAACTTTCTGATATTACTAACTTAAAAATTTCTCCCTATATTATCATTTCTGATTCCCATGACTCTCCCTACCCACACCCATTAGTTTCTTTTATATGAGACTCTTTCCTCAATTATCTAGCAATTCTTTGTTGTACACATATATTTAAGGAATTTATGAAATTAAAGAGCTGCTGATTAGAAGAAGCTTTATGGCATGGATAGAGCTTGTCAACTGGAAGCTTTAATTTGAGATAATTGGGGGTAAATGAGCTTCATTTGGGGTGGGACTAGCTCCAAATATCAGATTCCCTGAGGATTTTCCCTGGCTCTGTTCAGTGTCTCAGGTTAAGGGTCCTCTAATCTCCCTGCTGGGGTGGAATGTGGTCATAAGGATTGTTATATCCTTATCCACCAGCAGGGCTCCTGAGAGTCTCGAAGTTCAGCGTGTGGATGTTCACTTAATTCCTCTCCTCTCTGTGTAGTAAACTTTCTTGCTTCCCACGGTATCTGTGAACCCAGATCTGGAGACTTTTCATTTAATTTCTCTACTTGAAGCAACTTCCAGTGTCCTATTTAAGCAGAAGAAGGATAGATGCTAAACCAGAAGGGATTAGGGAGAAGTGGGGATTTGTCTGTTCCTTATATAGACATTCAACCCATCCCTGTATTTTCAACCTGTATCTCATTCTGTCCTTCCCAGATGCCCGCTAATTGTTTCTGGGGTCCTAAGGTGTGGATGGGCTTGCTTCTCACCAGCACTTAGTATTCAGTTTTGTCTACTCTGTTGTCTTCTCCATACACTTTACATCATCCAAAATATCACCCATCAGTCTGTATAAATTTATACCATTTTATCTTTTATACTTATTTTAATTGTGTCCCAGAGATAACAGAGTTATACATGTGAAGCTTATTTTCCGTGTTAAAAATTTGAGAAAACATTTTTATAATTTGAAATAATCCTTAGGTTCCATACACTAATTATCAATCATAATCTCATTTTACTCAATCTGTATTAATTATAGGTGCCTCATACTAACTAGTATATCTACTCGGGGATATTACTGTTTTTATTTAACTTTTATTATAAGATTCAAATGTTTAATACACTCGTATCTTCTGTATTTTAATGTCACAAACTTAAACTCTCAGCCACATTCACATCTTTTGAATTTTAAGGTTAAAAACAAATTTCGTTTTGCTGTAGGTTTTAGTAAGTATTTGTAGAAATCTATTTCTTCAGTGTTTAAAAGACTGTATTAACTCTTTTAAAAACTGTGGTGCTTTAGAGAGCTGTAATGTTCTGTCGAATTTATAAATGGTTTCTTAGCGTGTTCCTTTCATTTCACAGGGTAATGCTGCTTCACAAGCTATACTCAGAAAAGGTAAATTAATAATCTTCTCGTGACTTTTTTTCACAGACATCAAAGCACAAAGGGGTCTCTGCTTCTTGACAGCTTTTTGCTCTCCCTCCTCCTGGCTCTCAGCAGCCTCCCTCCAGTGCTTCCTCTGATGTGTTGGGTCTAATCTGCTCTGGGCTAGAAAAATCAGATGATCTCACTTGTTAAATTCAAGCTTAAAGTCAAAATAAAAGACTATCTGATTAAAGTCCCATGAGTAAAGTTCTTGTGTCTTAATGCATGCATGTTATGATCAAAGCACTGAAACCATTGCAAATTCCTCAGATCCTAAATAAAGACTTGACCAAGGCTAAAATCCAAAAAAGTGTTATGTGGCGTGTGTGTATATAACGTTTTGGTTCAAGAAAAGTGTATGAGAACTTTATGCCATTTCTTGATAAACATAAAATAAGATTACGGAATCACTGACTGCAGGGCTTACAGAAATACATCAATCACAATAGATCTTTCAAGTTTTTGCTTCTCCTTCTGTTGTCTGCGTCAGCCCCTCTTACATGAATATGTCTGTTTATAGCAGATTTTAAATACATAAACCAGCTAACTTCTGTTATAACTTTAATCTGTAAAGAATGTGTGCACAAATTTATGAAAGTGATTTCAGAATTTCTGGACACACTGCATGTAAGTTATGATTAAATTCTCCTGAGGGTATGAAAATGGGTCTTTGTATGGACCTCTACAAATTTGAGGCCTGCATGTAAATTATTATCTCAGTAAATATTTTCTCAAAAATAGATTTTGATATGTGAGCTCTTCTCTACAATTTTTCATATCTTAATAATTTAATATTTAACAATTAGGTATGTTTGACATGGTTGTCTTCTGCTGTACACAGATGAACTACCAGACTATGGATTGAATGATGCAGCCCATCCAGCTGAAGGAATCAATCTGGAAAGAGATTTGGTCAGCCAGACAACAGCAACACAGGAAAAATCAAAGGAGGAACTTGCAACAGTAAATAATGGTGTTTCTAAAGAAATATGGTTAGATTTTGAAGACTTCTGTGTATGCTTTCAGTAAGTATAAATTTTTGTGTGCATTTACTACAGTGGGTATATAAGCTATACATTTTTAGCTTTCATTTAAAAGAGTTAAGCCAATATTAGTCTGGTGTTGATATAATATCAAACAAAACTATTAGAAGGATATTTACAATAGCCAGGTCATGGAAGCAACCTAAATGCCCATCGACAGACAAATGGATAAAGAAGATGTGGTACATATATACAATGGAATATTAATCAGCCATAAAAAGGAACAAAATTGGGTCATTTGTAGAGTTGTGGATGGACCTAGAGACTGTCATACAGAGTGAAGTAAGTCAGAAAGAGAAAAACAAATATCATATATTAATGCATATATGTGGAATCTAGAAAAATGGTACAGATGAACTGGTTTGCAAGACAGAAACAGAGACACAGATGTAGAGAACAAACGTATGGACACCAAGGGGGGATAGTGGGGGGGTAGGGGGATGAATTGGGAGATTGGGATTGACATATATACACTAATATGTATAAAATAGATAACTAATAAGAAAAAAAAATATTAGAAGGAAATATGGATGAGTTGATTGTCCAAATGAAACATGAATAGCCAAACCAGTCTCAGGCCAGTTTCAGCTAATCCTCAAAGACTTATTTGTTTATTAAGATGAAGGCAGTTTATCCACTGAAGGAGATCATTTTTGTCCCTTTCAGACAACTAATTCAATACAGTTATTATTTTTTCTCAGCTTTATTGAGATGCAATTGACAAATAAAATTGTAAGTATTTAAAGTGTACATGGTGATGAACTGATACACATATATATTGTGAAAGATCCCCCCCCATCAAGTTAACTAACATATCTATCACCTCATATATTTATTTTTTTATTGTGTGTGAGAACATTTACGTTCTATTCTCTTAGCAAATTTTAATTATACAATATAGTGTTATCAATGATAGTTTCCATGTTATACATTAGATCTTCAGACCTTATTCATCTTATAACTGAAAGTTTGTGCCCTTTTTACCAATCTCTCCCTATTTTCCTCACCTCCAGCCCCTGGCAACCACTTTTTTCCTTTCTGAGTTGTTATTATTTTTTTAACTTCCATCTGTCTTTACCTGTTTTGCCTATAATTATTTGCTTCTGAGAAACTTAGCATGTAGTACTGTTTTGTTGCATATGATGACAATAACCTGTTATAAATAATGTTTTTCAGGAATATATATATTTTCCACAAGCCAAGTTCATATTGCCTTAACTTTCAAAAATCAGAATTCAAGGTAAATAGATTATGATCTCTTTTCTTTCCCTTCGTAAATTTTTAATGGAATCATGCTAGTGAAAAACACTTTCAAATTTATCAAGCATTTCTAAACTTCTAACATAATTATATTTAAAAATTTAAGGGACTTCCCTGGTGCTCCAGTGGTTAAGACTTCGCTTTCCAATGCAGGGGGTGCGGGTTTGATCCCTGGTTGGGGAGCTAAGATCCCACATACCTTGCGGCCAAAAAAACAAAACATAAAACAGAAGCAATATTGTAACAAATTCAATAAACACTTTAAAAAATGGTCCACGTCAAAAAAAAAATCTTAAATAAAAAATATTTAATTCTTAGGGTCTTCTACTAATCTCTGATATAGACAATAAGCAAAATTCTTCTACCTCATATCCCCACGTGTGATCCATCTGATTGTGTTGCACTGGTTCAATGCTGAGCCACATTATTATATAAATTCACATAAAGGAAGTTTTGACTTATGAGTAAATGAAGGAAAAGCACAAGTAAATTCACTACATTTGATTTCAATTAGTGTTTACTGACTTGCGCACAATTCCTAAAATATAAGCACATTTTCACTAACATTTCTGTTATTTTTGCCCACGTTCTTCCCTCTGTCTGGAGTTCATTCTTCTTCATCCTTATTGCCTTCATCTGGCTAACACCTAGAAGTCCTTCAGAACAGCATGGATGTCCTTGACCCTGTGAGACCTCCTTCCCTGCCTGTAGAGTCTGGGTCAAGTACCCTGACTCCATGCACTCTGTATGACTGTCCCCACCCAGACACTTCCCTTCCTCCATCCTAACTGCATGGTCACTTCTCTGTGTCCCCCCACCTACCCACCCACTTTCTGTCAGCATCTTAAGGATGACTCTGTCCTTTTCTTTACTTTTGAAGTACAGGTCCTGGTATGAGGTAGGAGATTGGTTAAAAAAAAAAAAATTGTTGAATGAATTAACAAACAAATGTCACATTGAGTGGAATTTTGTGGAAAACTATGAAACATATCCTGGGAAACTAAATTGCACTGAAACTTGCATGTCGCTTGTATGGGGCCCTGCAAGCCCCCAGTGATACTCCCCCGACATCTCCATGAACTGCATGCAGAGCTGGAGGGGGAAGTAGGAGGCTTGGTGATGACTTCTCCCTTTGCACTTGTACTAGATGAAAATGCAGGCAGAGAAAACTGTTTGTGCATCCCTCAAGAGGTGCTCTGTAGCTGGTTGCCTGCTCTGAAAGTAAGAATCAGGTCTGTAGTAGTGCCTGGGGTGGGGTTTGCAGGGGTGGCAGAATGGGTGACCAGGTTCTGAAGTCTATCTATAAAATCACCCAGAGGAATGCTTTGATTTTACGAATTTTACAAAAAACAAAACAAAACAAAACAAGCCTGTTAATTGGGAATAGCGGAACCCAGAGTACGGTATGAGAATAATACACCGTTTACAGTTAACTTAGGAATGTTGTCATATTCAAAATATTGGCAATATTTAAATGATAGTCATTTATAGGTGCTGACTCTGTTCCTAGCCCTGACCTAGGTTCTTTATTACATCAACTCCTCATAGCAAACTCAATGAAAGGACAATTATTATTATCAATTTTCAGGTTAGGAAACTGAGGCAGACCAAGTTTGGGTAAAATGCCCAAGATCACCAAATTAGTAAGTGGCGCAAGCATCACGAGAACTGCGTTTATCCGACGTAAAACCTGCGCCTTTCTCACTAGCACACCTTTGGAGGAAGCAGATGAGTGGCTCTGGAGCTAGACTGCCGGGTTTTGAATCTAGATTGCATCTGAGGTGGGACTCTGAGCAAGCTATTTAAGTTCTCTTTGCCTCAGTTTTCTTATTTATACAATGGCAGTGACAGACCAACATCATAGAGTTGAGAAATAAATGAGAGAACATGTGTAAAACACTTAGAAGAATGCCTAATACTTAGTAAGTGAAAATAAATGCTGGCTGTCGTTATTACTAAGAGCAGTTAGCATATGAGTTTTTGTTATACATCACCACCCTAATACATATGTGTATGTGTGTTCGGAAAATGGCCAACTGTTCTTTGTGCTGATCCTATTTTTATGAAGTGATGGTAAAAGGAGAATTTTATTTTCCTTTTAAAGTCCCAGCTTAGCAAAATAAAATGACGGCATCCATTATGAGTCCCTTCATTCCCCTGAATTTTTTTTTTAACGTCAATGGTCTGAGAAAATGATGACTTTTTCTTAGAGGATGTTTTTGGTACCCAAACTTAATGGCCTTTAATATGGATTGTTCGTGGTCTGAGGCCAGACAGTCCTGATTTTAGTGGCCACAGGCGCTACCAGCTGAGCTGGAGACACAGAGCCTGAGGCCTATCTGCTGCACATCCCTTAGCTGTCCCCTGGGAGATGTCATGGGGGTTGGCAAGGGGCTCACAAAGGTGTCTGGTCCCTGCACCAGAGCAGAGCCCCTGAATGTGGCCTCGGGGGCCATCTCACCCTCAAATTCTCAGGCTCTTTAAAATGACAACAAATGATCTCTAGGCAGAATCCCCTCCTCAGCCACACAGGCTGCGCTGGCAAATGCAGGGCCCTTCATAGTTTTAGACAGTGTTTGAAACAACTGCCTCTATCACCAACATGTGGCAGCCAAAAGAAAACAAATGAAATAAAGTCTAATGCTAACTACTGGAAGACACTGAGCGAAGCGATCATTTTAATTAGTTACATTGTACCAAGCATTTCTAGAAATCTTGTTATATTTGATTACTAAGGATTTCTTTTTTCACAGTATTGCTAGAGATTTTTCTTTTGTATTGCAACTTGTGATTTAAATATTGTTGTTCAATAGTATAGAAAGCTTTTAAAGTATAATGACAAATTAACACATTTACAATATACCATCAGTCAAAATTATGCTGAAGCACTGGGAAACTGAAATGCAATAATAGCCCAATAACTGTGATCAGTATTGGAGTCAGGTAGATAGACAGACCTACTTTTGAATCTCAGCTTTTCTACTTGCAAGTGCTGTGACCTTCGGCAATTTACTTACCCTCTCTGTGTTTCAGTTTCTCCGTCCATAATTATGGATATTAACGGTACCCACATAAGATGGATTAAAATCATATTCATGTAATCCTTACGTGGCTGTCCACTAAAGGACATTCCAGTTGTGCTCAGTACTTTCTTGCATGCCCAAAACAAAAATCCAGTTTGGTTCATTAGCGTACAATGGGTATATTTCTGAAGATCTTGTAGAAAGGAGGAATAGAGGGTTTATATCAAAAACCACCAAGTAGCATACAGTTCCATTCTCTGCCAAAGTTACTCCATGGACTGTTTGCTTATTAAGGACCTAACTTCTGAGTACTGCTCAGCTCTGGGCTCAGTCTCTTCGTCTATTTGTCATTTCTGGAATAAGCATATCCCTCTTCTTTACTCACGGGGAAGAGCTTTGGCTCTCTCTGATATGGTGGCCAGTCTCACACAGGCCCTGCAGACCCAGCTTCCGTGGACTGCTGCCAACATTCACCGGTGTGATTTTCTTCCTATCATTAAACCTGTAAAGTACTTATCATGGTGTCTAGAACACAGTAAATTCTCTATAAATATTAGATATTGTTATTTTAATAGAAGTGGAAAATACAGCATTAATAGGCTGATATGAAATACAATGATTGGTCTGATTTCTTGCAGTTCTCAGATGAACGTGTGTCCTACTATCTATTTGTGGACAGTCTAAAGCCCATTGAACTACTGATTTGCTTTTCTGCATTGGTACGCTGGGGAGAATCTGGAGGTAAGAAGGCTATGAGAAAATTACTGTCTGAGATCCCAACTCACTTTCTGTTCAGGGAAAATGTATAATGTGTGAAGGAACTTATTCCCTCTCCAGACCTCCTAAGATCTTCCTACTCCTCTGACATCAAGGATTATACTCACTCTTGCCACCTGTCCCTCTCCGTGTTGTGGTCTTATGGTCACCTCTTGAGCACACCTGGTCCCTCTGTTTTGCTTTCTACCTATACAAGTCATCATTCTTTTTTTTTTTTTAAGATTTTTTGATATGGACCATTTTTAAAGTCTTTATTGAATTTGTTACAATATTGCTTCTGTTTTATGTTTTGAGTTTTTGGCTGCAAGGCATGTGGGATCTTAGCTCCCCGACCAGGGGTGAAACCTGTATCCCCTGCACTGGAAGGCGAAGTCTTAACCACTGGACTGCCAGGGAAGTCCCACATGTTATCATTCTTGATTCTTTCAAAATCTCTTGAAAATCATGAACTCTTTCTTCTTTGATTTGACAATTCCAAAGATCTTTTCCTCCATCCCACCTTGGCCCCCTAATTTCATGGTTATATTTTAGACGTTATTATACCAATAACTGTATTATCCTAATCAAATTTCAAGTCCTCTGACCCCCACCCCTGAATCTCCAGTTCGCTCTCTCTAGAACTCCCACCCCTACAGGTCTTGGACTGAACTGGGACCTCCATCCATCAACCTTACCACTTCTTCTATGTCCACTCTCCCCACATCTTTATTTCTCTTATTCCCAACATAGTTTCCATGGTCCGTGATTGTATTTATATCCTCACATGTGCCCTCAACACAAGTGCTCTTCTTACCCTCTCATCTTACACTCCTGGCAAAATCCTAATATTGGTTGAAGGTATCTCTGTGCCTAACCTGGGGTTTCATCAGAACAGCTGAGTGTAACTGGAGAAAAAAAAAAAATCCTACTACCTAGCCCCACTTTAAATTGAGGACCACAAAACTCAAAGCAAAGCCCCTAAGCACTGCCAACATTTCCTGAGTTCATTCATTCTCCCAGCTCGCATTCTCATGAGTGACTGTTTCAAGCCTTCAAATCTCTCTCTCTCTCTCTGCCTTCAAATCTCCAACTCCCACTCTCATCCTTCCTCATTTTCAGCTGATGACCTTGCTGCTGTCTTCACTGAAGAGATAGAAGAAATTGGAAATGACCCACTCATCTTCTCATAATGAACTCTCCCAAGCTCTTGTCACCCTTCCCTCCTGTTCTAACAGATGGACTATTCCTTCTCTTCTCTAAGGCCAGCTTCTTGCAAACACATGCACATATGCACAAAACAGCATTCTTTGTTTGGCTTATTTTACTAAAGCATTTATATTTAACTCAAATTAGCAGTACCTCACACTGTACAGGTACAAATATTTGCTGAATGCTTAGTATTGAATTTTTTGCCCACTCTGAGGGCACAGACTATGATTTTCCATCAGGATGTACCCAATGTTTTGAATGGTGTCAGATGTGCAGCAAGTGGACAATAAATATTTGTTGAATAAACTTTCCAGACTTCAGTGGTGTGAGCTTAGTATGTCCACTTAATCAGTAGCTCCTAAGCCACACCACGTCCTGGAACATTGAAACTCCAAATGCGTAGAGGTATTTCAGGTCATGTGGTGGCCTTGTATCCTTAGCTTGAGTGTTATCTGGAAACAGGGTAAGAAGTCTTTTGCTCTCAGCTACTGATGAAGAGTAGTCATTATTTTCTATCAATTTCAAGATAAAAAAATTATTAATTAAAGTTTAATTAGATAAAATTTTAAATTAATTTATAAAAATTAAATAAAATTTTTAATTAATTTAATTAAAATTTTGGTAATTATTTTTCTACACAGTCAAAGCTAAGGATCAAAGCTCAAAACTTAAGTAAACAGTGGCATCTTTTGCCCTTGCTTTGCCACTATCTTAGGAAAATCTCTCATTTTCCCAGATGTGGTATTTTTCCTCCTTTAAAATTGTATCTAGTGGGATATTGTTATTACTGCCCTACATAAGAAAAGCAGTGGTATACTACAATGAAATACCCCTATCTGTCCTCTTTTTCCTAACTTTGTCATTCTTGGTTTCTTCAGCTGAGGGGATGGCTGTAAGAAGAAAAGTAGGCTAGGGAGGGAAGAAGGTCTTGATTCCTCTTGAGTATTATTTCCAGTAATTATTTACTCAGGGTAGTTTCTAATGTTTTATGAACGTCTTCAGAATAGGTCTAATTCTTGGTTGTTGTTGTTAATATTATTGTTATTATCATATTATTAATGTCATTATTGGTAAAAAGCAATACCAGTGAAAGCCAACTATACTCTCACAGTCAAATTTCTGTGTGTATATATATATATATATATATATATATATATATATGTTTTGTTTTTTTTGTCTTTTAAATTTCCCTAAAGCTTTAACAAAGAACAGCCCTCCCATACAGCCTGGACTACTTACAGTTGAGAGAGTTTCTTGGAAATCTCTGAGGCCACATGATCTTGTTGTGACAATTCACACGTATGCTACCAAGGCTACAGTGGTTCGCCTGCCTGTTGGGTATGGAGTGACTTCATTTTTCCCATACTAAGAATTATTTGAAGACTTGTAAACTTTTGACTACTAAATAATGAAACAATATGGAATCTAATATGTTGTTTCCTGAAGCAATTTCATAAAGCAGAGGTCTATCATCATGATTCTTGAGAAAAATAATTCTGTGAACAAATAAAGTGAAGAAATGCTGTATCTTTTGGAAGATTCATAATTGTTAAAGAATCTGGTTGTTTCTTTAGTAAAGAATACAGTTTAAACTTGTTTAACTCAGCATTTCCTAAAATTAATTTATTAAAAGATCTTTTTTGTTTTATTGTAAAATTTATTAAATTCCTTAATAAGAACCATGATTTTATTTAAAAACAGATTGAGAAACAGCATTTTCCCCTACAAATCTGTAGTTTTACCTGTAGTTTGTTTTTAATTTTACCTGTAGTTCTATTTTGAGTTAAGATAAAATTGGTTAAGCACATCACATTTTTCATTTTAAAGAAAATATGTATAATTGAAAAGTTTTCATGATTTTGATAAATAAAATTCAAAATATTGCCTCATATTTCAGATGAAATAAATATTTTTGCTGAATTTCCCAAGATCAATCATGATAATTCTATGTGATCAACGAAAAGCTATGGCTCTTGTACAAAAGCAAAGCCCAAGCAACAAAATGAAGTGCTAGGATAATCTATGGCAAGCATCCAATATTTCTAGAAAAATAATGAATTTTAAAACTTCTATATTTTCACATCTTCCCTAAAAACTCTGGTATGGAGAGATTCTCCCAGAAATCATTATGCTGTCTGAGTGCTCATCCATCAGGACAACCAAGGATGGGGAACTGATAAAGAATCTAGTATTTTTATCTGCTTTTCCCCTGACAGAGCCTAAGCTATAGACAGGTGGGTTTTGGACACGCTCTCAGTATTCTCCCTGATGCCGCAACCTGGTAGGAGAGACACAATTAACACACATGAAATTATGCATTTGTGAGAAACTGACTATGAAATCTACAGAGCACTAGGCCAACATGAATTATTACTGTTGTTAGGGGGAAAATCCAGATGAGTGTTTCGCAACGTGTCCGCAGCTTATGGGAGATGTCTCCAACATGTGCAAGTTTGTCATTTACTGTAATCGTTTTTTGTCCAGCATAATCAGTGAGATATAGATTCCATGATCTCGGAGGGTTCTTTCAAAGTGAAACATTCATCAGTCTTTACCTCATCTGTGTTACAAAATTCAGCCCTTAATAACGTTTGACTTATTTGAGCACAAAGTATCATCAAGAAGCTAACAGAGGCAAGGACTACAACAAAGGAAACCCTCGGTCCTCTCTCTTTAGGAGACACATGCTGCTCTTCACCGCATACTCCCCCGTGGGGCACTCCATACACATCTGCGGCATGGTGACCTTTGTCGTCGGGGATGAAGATGTCGTGCTACCCAACTTTGAACTGGTAAATCTTTGAGCAACTGTGATTTTTTTTTGTGCCTTATTTTCAAAGATTTTGAACTAAATCATATTGCTATTTTGTTTTCAACTTACCGATTTTTTACTTTTTTTTTTTACATCTTTATTGGAGTATAATTGCTTTACAATGGTGTGTTAGTTTCTGCTTTATAACAAAGTGAATCAGTTATACATATGTCCCCATATCTCTTCCCTCTTGCGTCTCCCTCCCTCCCCCCCTCCCTATCCTACCCCTCTAGGTGGTCACAAAGCACCGAGTTGATCTCCCTATGCTATGCCGCTGCTTCCCACTAGCTATATCACACCTTCTTTATCCATTCATCTGTTGATGGACACTTAGGTTGCTTGGCTATGGTAAATAGTGCTGCTATGAACCTTGGGGTGCATGTATCAAACTTAAATGCTTTTGCACAGCAAAGGAAACCATCAACAAAATGAAAAGACAACCTATGGAATGGGAGATAATATCTGCAAATGATGCGACTGCCAAGGGGTTAATTTCCAAAATATACAAACAGCTCATACAACTCAATGTCAAAAAAACAAACAACCCAATCAAAAAATGGGCAGAAGACCTAAATAGACATTTCTCTGAAGAAGACATACAGATGGCCAACAGGCACATAAAAAGATGCTCAACACTGCTAATTATTATTGAAATGGAAGGCAAAACCACAATGAGGTATCACCTCACACCAGTCAGAATGGCCATCATCAAAAAGCTTACAAATAATAAATGCTGGAGAGGGTGTGGAGAAAAGGGAGCCCTCCTACACTGTTGGTGGGAATGTAAGTTGGTGCAGCCACTATGGAGAACAGTACGGAGGTTCCATAAAAAACTAAAAATAGAGCTACCATATGATCCAGCAATCCCACTCCTGGATATATATCCTGCACATTTATTCAAAAAGGCACGAAAAGACACGTGCACCCCGATGTTCATAGCAACACCATTTACAATAGCCAAGACATGGAAGCAGTTTGTTTCCTTCTTTAGGTGATTTAAGTCCCTAGGTGTTTAGTTATTTTAGTCTGTGAACTCATATTTCCCTGGCGTTACCAACTCCTCCATCTTATAAAAATTACTGGGGCTTACATCCAGTTCTAATGAAGAAGCAAAAGGGGATATAGACTGGCCCAAGAACAGAGAGATTGAAGCTCCTCAGAGCCATACATGATCATTCCCAAAACTACCATTTAACCAGACAAGTTTTCTGGTCATGGTTTTATCTCAGGGAGAAACACCATTAAGAAGAGACTTTCCCTGGGCTTTGGGGAGGTTGGGAGAAGGTCAGCAAGAAGTAAATGTGTTAAGGTGGCAAGTCAGTTTCATCTGTTCTCAACAGTTTCTCACCCCATTTTCATGCCATTCCTCAAAATTTCTGCAGGGAACCGTGGAGCAATGATTGCACCATGGTGCCCCTAGGAAAGAGGCAAAAACAGACTTTACAAAGTTTTCCTCCTACTTGACCCTCATCATGCTTCCTTCAAGCACCCTCTGCTCTGAGTAAGTTCTCCACCAGCCACCAACTACCCACCACACACGAGTCAAGATAATCTGCAAACACCTCAGTGTTTTCTCCATTTAAAAAAATAAGTTCCTTCCTGACATCCCTATCTCCTTCTTGCTTTTATTGCTTCTTCAGAGTTTATAGCAGAAGGGAGCCAGCAGCCCATGCTAGTTTACCCTCTTGTATTTTTTATTTTATTGCTCTCTCCCTGAACACTTCTCTGCCCTTCAGTCGTCAAACTCCACACAGCTGTCAGACTAATTCCTAGACACTCTTCAGAACAAAGGCTGGATAGTCATACTGTGGAGAAATTTCCCCTGGCCCCCAAAGTGAGGTAGGTGTTGTTTCCATGCGTTCCAACTAGAGCAGGAATCATGTTCCTTGTTTTATATCCCTCAGACCATAGCACCTAGCAAAGTGCTTTGATCAAGTAAGTCCTCCATAAATAACTATGGAGTTAGTCATATAACAGATGTTTAATATATTAACAGAAATTAAATTGTTGTAAACCTAGTTACACCTAAATAAGCAAAAGGGAGGCTGACCGCTACGCTTTGTCTTCACAGGAGAGCTACCGATTTACACAGCGGGCTTTAACAATTTTGAAAGCTGTTGGACATGGCATCGCTAATTTCGAAGATAAGGCTAAACTTTCTGCAGCCCTGAAGGATCTACAAACAGCTCACTACCCTATTCCCCTCCAGGATAAAAAACTAACTGCACAGCACTTCCGGGTAAGCGTGTTCAGGCTGTAATGTTCCTAGAAGAGTATGTTCTGTTTGTAATAATGTTTCACATATTCGATGACCCCCAAAATCAGCCGAGAACATGTTCTGGATGAAGACAGTTTATTTGGGAAGTGACGTCAGCAAGCAGAAACGAGAGAGTAGGAAGAATGAAATGAGAAAAAGGAGAATATTCATGAAAGGATGTGGTAATTATTGCTGTGGGCTACTGGGGCTCAATGCTCCAGGGAATCCTGATAAACTGTGTAGGACATCCCTTAGAAAGGTCCCCCTAGAGGATGAGGCGATTGTAACGTTTATCCACTGATAGATGGGTGCTCTCAGGGGTATTTATTTCCTCACACTTTCTTGGGGTTGAGTAGCATCCTGGCTTTACTGAAAGCCTTGAGGGAGTGAAGCAAAACGACTTTGTGGTACCCCCTGTACACTACCGACATTTTGAGCCAGAAGATTTTTGCTGTGGTCCTGACCTGTCAGTGGCAGCATGGCTTGCCTGCACCCTCTAAATACCAGTTGTGACAACTAAAAATGATTTCAGACATTGTCAAGTGTCCCCTGGGGAGCAGTGTTGCTAGAGTTGGAAATTAAAATACAGGACACCCCGTTAAAATTTGTTTTACTAAAGACTTAATTTTTAGAGTAGTTTCAGGTTCATTGCAAAATTGGGCAGAAGGTATGGAGATTTCCCATTTATCCCCTGACGCCACCCGTGCCTTCCCCATTATTTATCAACACCCCCCATGAGTGGTACGTTTGTTACAATCGATGAACCTACATTGATACATCAATCACTCAAAGTCCACAGTTTACACTAGAGTTTACTCTTGGTGTACATTCTGTGGGTCTGGACAAATGTGTAATAACATGTATCCGTCATTGTAGTGTCATATATAATAGTTTCACTGCCCTAAAAATCCTGTGTGTTCTGCCTAGTCATCTCTCCCCTCCCCCACGCCCTGGCACCCACTGATCTTTTTTATTGTCTCCATAGTTTTGCCTTTTCCAGAATGTCATAAAGTATGTAGTCTTTCCAAATTAGCTTCTTTGACTTAGAAATACACATTTAAGTTCCCTCCATGTCTTTTCATGACTTCATAGGTCACTTCATTTTCATGCTGAATAATATTCCATTGTCTGGATGTACCACGGTTTATTTATTTATTCACTTACTGAAAGACATCTTAGTTGCTTCCAAGTTTTGGCAATTATGAATGAAGAGGCTATAAACATCTGTGTGCAAGTTTTTGTGAAGGCATATGTTTTCAGCTCATTTGGGTAAATACAAACGAGTGTAATTGCTGGATCATGTGATAAGAGTATGTTTAGTTTTATAAAAATTATCAAACTGTCTTCAAAAGTGGCTGTACCATTTTTCATTCCCACCAAAATGAATGAGAATTTCTGTTGCTCTATATCCTAGTCAGGATTTGATGTTGTCATTGTTCCAGATTTGGGCCTTTCTAATAGGTGTGTAGTGGTATCTCATTTTAATTTGCATTTCCCTGATGACATACGATATGGAACATCTTTTGATATGCTTATTTGCCACCTGGATATCTTCTTTGGTGAGGTGTCTGTTAAAGTCTTTGGCCCATTTTTAATCAGGTTGTTTGTTTCCTTATCATTGAGTTTTAAGTATTCCTTTGCAAATATTTTCTCCCAGTCTATGACTTGTTTTCTCATTCTTTTGACATTTTCCTTACAGAGCAGAAGTTTTTAATTTTAGTGAAGTCGGCTTATCAATTCTTTCTCTCATGGGTCCTGGCTTTAGTGTTATATCCATAAAGCCATTGCCATACCCCGGTCATCTAGATTTTCTCCTATGTTATCTTCTAGGAATTTTATACTTTTGCATTTTGCATTTCAGTCTACTGTCCGTTTTGAGTTAATGTTTGTGAAGGGTGCAAGGTCTCTGTCTAGAGTCATTTCACCCAATTAAATTTTAATTTCATATAAACAAACAGTATGTGCAATATATAGCACATACTTATGTTAAAAATTACACTAAAAATTTGTTTTCCCTGTTATTCCACTTTAACTGGGTATAAGGTGTTGTTGGGGATAGATAATTAAAAACAGAATCTCCTTCAAACCAGGAAGACCTCCACAAAGGTAGAAGAAACAGAAGATTGTTGAATAAGTGTTAAACCAGAATGTGATACCCGTCAAGGGCAATCTGCTAAAGAGATAGCAAAGAGCCAAAGAAACCTTACCCTTTTGTATAGCCCAGCAGATACTGCCCACTACCTACATGTTCTCAAGGTAAATGATAATTAGTCCCTTAAGTAAAGGGATTTGATAGCACCATTTGTTACACATAGTGAATCCTAAATTCACCTGCTATTTGGAGTGACCATTTGCATTACCTAACTGGGTTTATCCAAAAGAAACATAAACTTCTCATGCCTCTATGGCAGGAGGTATTTTTCCAAGTTGGTGGGAGCCTCCCACCAAGGTTAGGTTCCTCCCCTTCCACAGAAACTGGGGGATTGGGGTGCTATCTTCCTTGATGATTACATTTCAAAGAGATGACTTCCAGGTCCTTGAGAAAGATATTCCTGGATCTTAAAGCTGGCAAGATAGCTATTTAGCCTTTAAAAATATTTACATATATTTCAAAGAAGAGAGAGAGAGAACTTAAAATTATAAGTTTTTTAAAGTGAATGCTCTAAGAAAAGGGAGGGGAAGAGTCTCTTCCTTTATTTTCCATAAGGAGAATTGTCTTGTTTTGTTTAAAGTGGTATTTGCCCTTACAGTTTCTTGTATCTTATCTGTCAACCCTACCTGGGACACAAATCACTCCCAGTTGAAAACCACTCACCTTGGGCATGAGCAATCTCCAAAAATCTGCCATGACTTACCTCTTTAACTAGTCTGATTGGTCCTTAATTCTGTCCATCCAGTCCTCAAGGTGGTGGCTCTAGATGGCTCTTGGTGGTGGTCATAAGCTCTAAAAATAAATAAATAATCAAATTATCATATAACAAGAAAGCTGTAGTATCCACTGCTACAGCTGGCCCTAAGGCCAGAATTGGTAGTCAACATCTCTCCTCTACCACCTATTCTAGATTTCCCTTTCTTCCAGCTGCTCTAGTTGCTTGCCTGGTTGGTGCCCCAGACCTTCGATCTTGATGCGTACAGACCTTGATTGCCTTATTCTCATCAGGCTGAGATTGTTGTAATTAAGCATTCACTGTGGAAGCACCAAGAAATGTCCCAGCAAATCCAGACATAATTCTTCTTGTCCCCATTATGTAGCAGAAACCTAGCCCCTCATGACAATGAGGATGAATTCCTCCCACCACTCCATTATATTAGTTTCTTTTTTCCTGCTTGTCTACCAGGAAGAGGATCTCAAAGCAACTAGGAATATATCAGAGTTTAGGTTTATTGTAAATCATACTGTGTTCCCTGGTGGAAATATTTCCTGCTATCCACCCCCAGGAATTAGGTCCTGCAGTACAGAAACTCCCTGTTGTGGGGACAGAGAACACTAATTATTGAAAGTGGACCACTGGAAATGATGGTGAGAGAGGCCACTCCTACTTCTAATTTTTGAACCTCAGGCCAGTATATTATAGCTATTACAGTCATAGTACTGTGTATTGATCTTTGGTTTTATACAAATATTCTGTATTCTGGAGGATACTGCCTCAGTTTTGCAGGATGTCATCACCAGGCTGGCTTCTTAGCTGAGCCTTTTATATGCCTTTCCAATCTGCCAGGAATTTTATCAGTCCTTTCTATGGTATATGTTAGGACCAGTGAGTCTCAAACATTCCCCAGTGATTAAATGTTCACTGTATTACTTGATCCTTGGTCCAAGGGGAATGTTAGGCTGGATCCATGTCTCTGTAACCCCTAAGATAACAATGCTGGCAGAGGCACCAAATACAGGGAAAACAAACTCATATTTGAGGTAAGTCTCAATTCTAGTAAGGATGAATCACTGCCCACCCCTCCTTGACAGAAGTCCACTGATACCAACTTGTCATGAAGTAACTGACTGTACACCCGGAGGATGATACCATATTAAATGAGTCAGTTTTTGCGACCGACAGTTGAGACAGCTAAGCCTGGGTGAAAGAGAGCCCATACTGTTGAGCCCATTCATCATCACCATCTCTGCTATGAAGATTACTTTTATATAGGCCTTTTGATGCTAGCCCAGATCTAATATGTAAGGGGTCTTTGTGCATGTATCACTTACACAAAAGGGAGCTATTTTGGTAATGAAACATCTCCATTTTATACTTGTATATTACACAGTTACGTGACATTTTTCAGAGAGCCATGCTCCATAAATCGATTCCAAATTTGTCTACTGTAAACAATTCTAGACAGACGAGGTGCATCATACTATAAAGATCCCATAGATAAGGACTCTCTCAGTAGTAAATAACATTTGTGCATTTGCTGGGAGGTGTTTCAGTGGCATGTTTACAACAGTACTGGACCAGGTGATCTTTCTTTCTTGCGATGCTCAAGTTTCCTGCAGATGCCTCTCTTGCATTGGATCCCACTCAAAGCTGATGGTCTTCAGAGTCACTCAATGAATGCATTGAAATAATACTCCCCAAAGCAGAATATTCTACTACCCAAATGCAGAGAGGACCAGCAAGTACTGGCCTCTTTCTTAGTTATGTCTTAGCCTTTACCTTAGAGAGGATGTCCCAGCATGCCTAGCCTTCTGGACCCCTAAAATCTCCACCGATGTGGTAAGTCCATGAATCTCTGTAAGATTTATTCCCCACTCTCTAGCATGCATGTGTCTTAATGAAGGATTAAGAGTACTGGCCACTTACTGCCCACGGTTCTGAGTTCACTGTTGTCACCCATATTCACGTGTAGACCAGACTCAAGCACTACCAAATGTCAGTATCACCAAAGACTCTGAACACTAATTTGTAACAGAGAGTATGAGGATTAACATTATCATGATTTTTTCAAAAAAATTTTACCTTAGATGTTGAACTATTTAGGGCATTTTATTAGGCATGTCACGAGGACACATCTAGCTTATTTAAGCCACAACAAGGAGCTGGATGTGCTGATTTGTTATAACAATACAGGGACATCTTCTGGACACATAAGAACAGGAATGACTCAGTGAGGAACTTTGAAGAGGGAAAAAGAAGGCCCTCAGAACTTGTCTTCTCCATTTTTTCTCTTTATAAACATGTTTTCTCTCCTCTTAAGTTCACATCATGGAAAACATGGCTCCTGAATTTTATATTGCCTTTTCATACAAGGCCAGTTTAGAATATCTTGATCCTGGTGTCAAATTACTGGCCAAAGCACAGGGAACTCAATACTCTGTAATGACTTATATGGGAAAAGAATCTAAAAAAGAGTGGCCATATGTATATGTATAACTGATTCACTTTGCTGTACACGTGAAACACAACATTGTAAATCAACTATACTCCAATAAAAATTAAAAATATATATATTGGCCGAAGTGACAAAGATTTGCTCAGCTTGGGTTAGATGCTTGCTCGCAGGCTTGTCCACCATTGCTAGCTGATGGGGCAGGTACAGATACAGACTGTGGGACTAGGTCCCTGTTTCTATACATACGAAGAGAGGTGAGGAGTTGTCAGAAAATGTAGACTAAGCAGGAAATGCAATAGTCATATGCCTTTGCAGAGCACTGTATTTCACCAATTCTAAGACGAACATTGCTTTTCCCCTTTAATATCAGAATGAAATCACAGTGTCTTATCATTGGTGGTTCCTTACAATCATTGCTGGCCAGGTGACCTCCAGAATTCTCTGCACACACATGGACATGGACTTGTTCATAAGAATTCATATCGTCTCCGTTTCAAAAGAAATATGTTTAACAAAAGCCTAATCCTTAGGGGAAGAGAATTAAATGGCATGGTAGAGCCTCTCGAAGAAATGTGAAGGGAAAGGGGTTCTCCTCACACCAGAATGACTCCCCCATGGCTCAGGAAAAGAGAGAGAGGGAGAGGTATGACTGGCTGAAAGTCACCACAAATAGTGCCCCAGGAGCCCTACCTAATTCACCAAGCACTTTACTCCCTGTGAACATGTAAATAGCTACAAGTAAGCAAGCAGAAATGTGCAGTGGCTGGTTGTTATTCCCAGTGGTATGACTGGATATATGGAATCCATCAGCATTTCAGGGTAAAAGCCATGAAAAAAAAAACTTGGAAGAAGGGATATGTGTTCTGGATGCGGTCTAAAAACCTTCCAGTGGTCCTCTTTGGTGAGATCAAGAACAACTCAGCATCAGCACTTCCTGAATGAGGGTTGGTGGCTTGAGAAAAACCCCAGGCAGAAAAGGAGAACACTCTTTAGGCAATGGTGCATTTTCAAAGCCTTTGACAACACAAAGGACAAAACTGCATAGAAAAACACACGTTTAAAAAAACAAACAAACAAAACACACGTTTACTGTTTACAAAAAGTGATTTACAAGAGTAGGAGTTTGAGTATGAATAAGTTTTCAGAATACTTAACCAATTTATGTAGTTTATTTTTTCATGTACGTTTAAGTGTGATACATGATGAAAAAGTTATGCCTAAATAAATTTAAAAGAGCTTTTTCAATAGGAAGTAAATACTCGTAAGTGACAAAAAAGTGATTAAAAACTTTGAGTGGCATATTTTCTTTCTTGAAGCACAGGAACTAATAGTGTGTCTTATAATGGGTGGCATCTTGGGATAAAAGAAATCTGGTATTTAACTTGCTTAGGCATAAGAACCTTATTTTTTATCTTACACTATATCTCCTCAATCCATTTAATGTTATATTTTAATTGAATGTACATTATAAACATTGTTGTGGTGATTAAAGCTTATTAAGTTAAAATTAGTCAAATGATAAATAATTTTCATCTTTTACCAGATGAGGGAGTCTGCAAAGAGTCTTCTGCTAGATGGTGTGTATATCTGAGAAATACATAGTTTTTATTTTTAGAGTATCTCAAGTTTTTTAGAGGCTCTCTGGCCAGGTAAGGGTATTTTCTTGATTTAAAAAATATACTAGTGCATTTTATCTTTTTCAGGTTTTTCGTATTTCTTTATGGCATTTAATGAAAAAAGCTCAAATAGCAAAACCTCTTCCCAACCTCAAATTTGCATTCCGTGCTATGGTTTTGGACTTGGACTTACTTGATTCTTCTTTGGAAGAGGCTTCTTTAGGTACTGATTAATTTTAGATATTTATGTGACAAAGGAATTCCTAGTCTTATATGGGCTAAATAATTTGAGAAAAGTATACTCAAAATTTTTGTGGAGTAGGTAGAATCGGTCTATATTAACAGTTGTAGAGTTCAGGCTATGCCCTGAGAAGCTCAAAAGGTTCCAAAGATCTGACGTGTGTCCCCTGTCCCACATACATCCAGGGAAGCCCAGAATTTCCCAGTTTTATTTGTTCCTGACCTTAAAGAGCATGACAATCACTATATATACAGTAGTACTGGAGTAATTCAGGGAAGATTCTCTGATCTAAGTAACCCTCATTTCCTCCTCTTCCGATGTTCTATTCCCACCATTTTAACATTTTGTTTCAATTTTAAAGAACCTTCATGCTACTTTCACATAGGAATCAATACTAGTTCACTAAAGTGTCAATATTTAGTGTTTCCCTTCTCCAGAATGTTTATATTCTAAAAAAGAACCACCTGCGGAAGGCAATGTTAAATATAACAACAAATCTATCGTAGTGGCACTTTATACATTAGAGGGCTTTAATAGTTAAAGGCAGTGAAAATTGGGGTAGAGATTAGATATAACTTTCAGTCCAAAGTTTGTTTTTCTCTTTCCAGCGGAATGGGTAGATGTTAAATATAATGTGTCAATAAGTGACAAAGAGTATTCTCCTGAGGAAGTAGCAGCAGCAATTAAAATTCAAGCCATGTGGAGAGGGACGTACGTCAGATTACTTATGAAAGCTAGAACACCAGGTATACTTTTTCAATCATTTATAAAATGAACTTGCATAAATAAGGATGAATATTTGTTTACGTGCTAACAAAAAGCATTTTAGAGTCATTCTACTTTACGGCTCAGCTAATTCTTTTTAATTCTATCAATACTGAATTTCCTTGAGTTCAGGATGCATGTCAGTACACGCATGCTTTTTGTTCCTGGAATATAGTGCAATGCCTGGTACAGACTGAGCACACAACAAATACTGGCTGAAAGAATGAATGAATGATCAGCTGTATTTTCCCAATCTATCATGCGTTCTTTAAAAAACAGGAAACTGGCCTTTTTCTCCGTCCATCCCCTTTGCCTAGCAGAATGCTTTAGCAGTCAATTTCAGCTAAGTCATAGACAGTTTTTACATTTCTAGACCATTTTTCAAAGAAGCAAATGAATGAATGAGTGAATGAATGAATGAATTTAATGAAGAAGCTTCCATATATGCCTGTGGTGACATACATTTAGAAGGCATAAAATGCTTTTAAAGTATATTATTATATTTATTAAATCAAATATATTTATGCATATGAAGTAAACTATTTCGTGAGGTCTATTTTAACAGCTCAAAATAATACACTGCAGAGGCAAAAAAATTATATTCAATTATTTTCATTCTTCAATTTTTGTTAACGCTTTTAGAGAAAAAGCTTTGCCTCCAATAGAATTCTTTTGAGTATTTTGAAACATTTTGTTGTAAACATATCTCTGAAACATTTAATGAGAAATACCAAAATGTTCATCTAAGCAGTAAAAACTATAGATACACAAGTGTAAAAAGAAACAAACTATATTGCATAGTTTTGTGGTAGAAAAATATTGCTGTCGCTTGATTTTTATATTTTTTTCTATCAGAAAAAAATTAATTATAAATTCATCCAATTAAATATGTGGTAAAATACACATGTCCATATATGCTGTAAAAATTATATTCATACAATGATTGTTTTCTCTTTATAAAGACAAAAATGAGCAGCTTAATAATATTTCAGTAGCATTTGCATTCTTTCACTCAACACATATTTATTGAATAATAACAGTTTAGCAGAACTGTTCTAGATTCTGGCCTTATAGAGTAAAACTGACAAGGTTTCTGCTCTGATGAATCTTGTGTTGTAGTGGTCACAGGCATATAGCAGAAAGTAAATATATTAAGATACTGATTTCAGATATGAGTAAGTACTGTGAAGAAATTAGGATAATTAGAAAAAAAGTCAGTTTCTGACATGTTAAATTTGAGGCACTTATTATGGATTTGCATTTTTCTTGCCAAATCACCTCTTAAGCCATTCGTGGATTATGCTTTAGATTAAGCTTCAGTGAGATCCTATTAGCCATTGTTTTTTAGAAAAATTGGATGGATTATTTTTTCTGACACAAGAGCTTTCATAAGGATTTTTTTTGGTGTGATAAATGACCTCTCATTTTAAATGCTTTGATGAGTATCTTCAATTAGATCAAAGAGCACTTTATAATTTTTAAACTAAAGATGAAGGGAAAGAGCATAAAATTGTGAGCGCAGAACTCTTGACTAGAGATTCATAGCTTTATGTTTTAAACATGGTTTACTGCTAGTAAAGCTTCAGACTTTGGATATTACCTTACTGGTAAGTTTCAACTCCCTCACCTGTAAAAGGAGGGCTTAGAACAAAATGATTTTTCAGGCACCTTACAGCCTTGATATTGCTATTTTTTACTGTTATTTTTAGGCACAAAGGAAAATACCAGTGTTGCAGATACTCTTCAGAAAGTTTGGGCTGTGCTGGAACAGAATATAGAACAGTATGCGATTTCTCTCTTAAGGTAAAGCAGTGTAATGATGTTTCTTATTGTAACCTTTCTTATTGTTTCCTACTGTAACCTAATGATGTACCTTTCTTAAGGTAAAGTGGTATAATGATCTTACTATAAGTTCCAGTTCAAATGCTACTATATTTGTTGAGTTTTTCCTAATCATCGCAGCTAGAAACATACCACTGCTTCTGAACTTCCACACTTCCTACTTTTTGTTTGTCTTCATTGCACTTATCTAATACCCTAAGAATAAAACCTCTGAGAAGCAAAACAGAGTTTTTTTGAAGTCTTTTGGTGCTAAAGAGATAAAAGTTAGAGTTTAGGACCTGCTAGGGGAGAGGACTCCAGTAAACAATGAAAGTTGTCAGTTGAAATCCCTGGAGGACAACATTCTAGAAACAGGGACAAGTGTGAAGTAGATTGAGCCTTAGGAAAACTGCATTTTAACCACAAGCCATGTTCAAAGCAGGATAATCTGAAAAAACTAAGAGAAAATCATATATATATATATATATATATATAAAAGAAGAAGACCACTTGGTGATGTAGGAGCTAGCAGACCAAATCTCTAAAGGTAAGTATTATGGAAATGCCCAAGAAAATAAAGGTTAAAGAAAGAGAAAATAAAAGTCTAGATTAATAAAACACAGTTAAATGGAAATTACATAAATAAGATTTTTAACAACCGAAATTTAAAACTTTTTAATTAGTTAACAGCAGATCAGGAAGAATAGAGGAAGAGATTAGTGAAATGGGAGATAGGTCAATAGAAAAATAGTGGAAAATAAGGAAAGAACTAAGGGACATGGGGAACATGCTTAGAAAGTCTAATATTTGTATCATTATAGTCCCAGAATGTAAAAAGATAATAGCTGATAAATTTCCAAAACTGATAAAATACATCAACCCATATTTTCAAGAGACTCTGCATGCACACTCCATGCAGGAAGGACACGAAGAGAACCATACCCAGACTCATTGTAGTCAAATTGCTGAAAACCAAAGGCCAAAAGAAAAACCTTCAAAGTAACCAGAGAAATAAGACACACTATTTTCAAAGGACAATCACACTAAGAGCCATATGTAAGAGTAAATTCTTAACCTTAGCAATGCAAAATGCAGAAGTTGGGTAATAAGCTTTAAAGAGTTCTAAGGTTCTAGCATTATTGCAGAAGTGGTAAAAGTAATAATCTAGATGAAACACCGGTAGGGCAAGGATACATAATACATTCGCTAGCAATATGCTAATGGATCCACAAGTGAATTTAAGAAATCAGATTAATCTTATACATATTCCAGAGAACAGAAAAATAGAGGAGACATTTACCAACTCATAACCTTGATTTAAAAAACTCAACAAGGACAGTAAAAAAAAGTGAAATTGCAAACCGAATGCCCTCGTGAAATTAGATGAAAAAATGTAATAAAATATTAGCAAATCAAACTCAGAATTATATAAAAAGAATAATACCTTATAACCAAGTGGCTCTCCCAATCTAAGACGTGTAATAGTGGTTTAACATTAGGAAATTCATCAATTTGGCACATTAACAGGGAAAAGGAACAAATCACTCGGTTCTCTGGCTAGGTTCAGAAAAAAACATTTGAAAAAATTTAACAAAAATTCAAAATTTTAAAATTTTTTAGCAAACTAGGATTAGAGAAGACTTTCCTTAATATGTTATGGTATCTACTATTTTTAAGCAATTACTACAAACATGATTAGTGGTGAAATTTTGAAAGCTTTTTCTTGAGTTTGAGAATGAGACAAAGACGCCTGACCAAACACTTCTATTCAAGATAGTCCTGGAATTTTGTGAAGGGCAAAAAGGCAATAAAGCAAAATAAAAGTCACTAGAGTTTGAAGGGAAGAAATAAAACCACTGTTTACAGGCAACATGGTTATATATGTAGAAAATGCCAGAAAATCTATATGAATTTATTAGAATTAATGAGAAAATTAAAGAAAAGTTTCTGGATACAAGGTCAAAATGAAATAACGATTGGACTTATATTTATAAGCGACAAATAGAAAATTATGCATGTAAACATATAAAAATTTAAAATAACCTAAAGTTATTGAAAAATTTCATGATGAGCCAAATGTCAAAATTTTTAATTTGGAAAAAATCCAAATTTGTATTTTCCCAACCCTGAGAGCGAGTACCTCACTCACCTCACCCAAGTCCTGACCTGTGGATACTGCTATCACCTGATAATTCAGCTTGATTAAACTTTTGCTCCAGAAGCCTGTTTTCTAAAACGGGTACTCTTCTGCCTAAGACCCCAATTGTTTGGACAGACACAGAGAGCACGAAGAACCTCTTTCTCCAAACTGCTTCAACATTGTAAGGACGATTTCTGGCCCAGAAATTACATCTAATTTTCATGTAAATGGAGTGCTAAAATCATGTGTTGCCCTATTAGGGACTCAGGTCAGTTCACTATGGAGGTGTATTTGAAACACAGGCATAACTCCTTCAGGGAGCTGGCGTTCCTCTCCATGTGTTCCTTCTACCATAGCCAAGAGCATTTCCCAGAAAGAAACTCAGTGAATATCCAATGCAGATATTGGCCATGCTCTTTCAATAGTTTGAGTTGCACACCCCAATCTATTGAACGGATGAAACTCACAAGTCTCACCCATCTTTAAACTTAAATGTCAGGAGCATCCAAAGCTACCTCCTCATCCTAGAAGGCATTAATTACACGGTCAAAAGCACACCTTTTGGTATAAGACCTAATGCTAACCCCACTTCTACTAATTATCAGATGTGTGACCTGGGGTAAGTTTCTTATCCTCTCTGAACATAAAATTAAGTTTTTTTCATCTGTAATATAAGGATAATAATATCTACTTCATAGTATTATTCCTTTATAAAGCTGAAAAGATAAATTAAGGTAATCCTGGAAAATTATTTAGCACAATGCTACAGATTGAGCCATTACACAACATTAGTTATTATAAATATTGCTATTATTAGTAGTAGTACATGAGTAACTTTGAGGTCCTTGAGCCTAGCCTTGCATTCTCAGACCTGTAGGGGCACAACTTCAACAGTTGACTTTGGGCAAGGCTCAGTTTTCCAATATAACTTTCTCTCTGTCCTAGGATGCAAAGTTAAAACTAAATCTTTTGATTATGTCAGGGATATCTCTCTATGGGTCGTTTAAGATATTCCACATGGTACATCAGGATTTTGATGGTCCTATACTCATTAGAATTTCCTGAGGTATATGAAAAATAGTAGAATGTGTGATGGAAACAGTGACAGTCTGGAAAGCCTTTAAATTGCACCCTTCTCTTAGAATCGTGGTGGGACCCATTGCACTCAGTTCCCTACGTGGCCTGCTTAGTTCCTGTACTGGCTCAGCCAGCTCCTGCATTTAGACTCAGCCAGCCCCCATATGATTGACAGGGGTACTCTGCATTGACCGACCATCACGTCATACTTCCTAGTGAGGGTGATCAGGTTATTTATCAACCAAACTGGGACACTCTGACAGGGAACGGGGGAGCACTATTAATAATTATACCAGGGATATGAGCCTAAACCAGGACTGCCCCAGAAGAATTAGAATATATAATTGCCCTGGTCTTTGTTCTTGTCATTATTTTGAAAAGCTTTTTTAAATCCTTCCAAATATAAACCTGTCATTTTCCTCCCACCACCAAAGACCAGTGATCAAATGGAGCATGTGAATCCTATCCTCTGTGAGGATCTCTATGGCTCTGCTTCCCCGTGACAGTACAGTTGAGCCATCCACCTTCTGCAAGCCAAGAGCACCTCTAGCTCTGTCTAGACCTCTAACAGAGAACCATTCCTATGGCCATTATAGCTTCTGTCCCAGCTAATACCCAAGACATTGTATAAAAGACCTGAGATTCCTGGTGCTACTGAGGCTGGGTCCGGTTCCTGGCAGAGTGGGAGGTACAGGACCTGGAGGATCTCTCTCATCACTTCCATCATGTTCTGGAATATGCCACAGGCTTCCAGGGGTCAAACATGGAGAAACCTCAGTTGCACCAGAAATCATGTAGAAGGAAAACTCTGGCACTCTCCCCTTGTTTGTGGCCTCTATTTTCAGGGGGTTTTTTAGTCTTTTTTTCCAAATCCATTACTCACTTTAAACTCCATTCTAGTATTGAGTCTCCAGTCAACCCCAGACCTTCAGTGGCTTCCACCCAGTTTTATTGCTAGTTTGCCTGCTTCTAGTTTCATCACCCTTATAGGTTGAACTTTAGTGCTGATTTCCCATCTATAAATTTCAGTTACTCCTTAGATCATGAATTAGGTTCTCTCTTGACTAAGAACTTCAAATAACTTTGGGCACCTTTGATAGACATCATGGTCAATCTGGAATGGGCTCTCCTGCTTTGGTGCCGTGCACCACGAGCCCCCATTTGATGAAGGACTCAATCTAGCCAACAATGTACTACGATATTTTATGCTGTTTTTTTGCCTATTTCTTTTTTGTAAATAGAATTTATTTTAAAAGTTGTTTTACCATTGGTACTTAAATTATTTTTAAATTTTTAGACTAATGTTTAAAAGTAAGTGCAAGTCTATGGAATCTTATCCATGCTATCAAGATGAAGAAACTAAGATTGCTTTTGCTGACTACACTGTGACTTATGCAGACCAGCCACCAAATACTTGGTTTATAGTATTCAGGTGAGGCTATCATATTGGCAAGTAATATCACTCTTAAGTGGCATGAAATATTCATATATACAGAGCTTTCTTTATGATTCTTTATGATAGTAGTAAAAGTATTAATATGAACGTTTAAGTTGCTTTCAGAAGTTAGTTAAAATTTCTTCCATATCTGCTATGCATAAATGAGATATTATAGAAATTTTTATTCATGTTTCTTTAAACAAAATATGAAGACTGTGAAGTGTTAATTGTTAGAACTTTTTATGAGTATAGTAAACATAATAAAATAAATTGAGACGCTTTCCGTATATAAATAAATGTACTAATTTCGAAGCAATAGCCTATTAGGTAAGAGTCACAAATTACTTATAAATGGGATTTCTTAAAAGGTTTGCATTTGCATGACAAAATAGTGTATCAATAAGAATTTTAAAGGAAAACAGTATGCTGCTTTTAAGTTACTTGCAACTTTAAACTTATGTTTTTATTTCTTAGCATCAAACCTAATTTCAAACTTTCTTTATGATTCATGTCAAGGGAAAGTTCATGCTTTTGTAATTACAGAGAAACATTTTTGGTTCCTCAAGATATGACTTTGGTTCCCAAAGTATATACTACACTTCCAGTCTGTATGCTCCACGTTGTTAATAATGACACAATGGAAGAAGTGCCAAAGGTATTCCAAAAAGTGGTGCCTTATCTTTATACTAAGAATAAGGTAGGTGTAAAATTTATTCTCCTCATATGATAGAATAGCAGTGAGAAGTCAGCACCCTGAGAGGTTCCAACAGAAGGCAGAACAGATGTGTTTTCAATCTACATAACAGAGGAATAGGGTCCTGGTCTTTCTCCATGGAAGTCCCATGTATTTGACAGCAAAAGGTAATTAATGCGAGTGCTAGAACATTCACCTTTTAGCCCTCCTTCTTATCTTTTATCCAAAGAAAATATGACAAAAGGAAAAGTTAGAAATTCTCATTATTAAAATCATAAAATCATACAAACCCTTAAAATGAAAATGGAGGTAAAGAGCACATTTATTCCTATCCCTAAACCAAACCAAAGCAGCAGGTTTTCTCAGCTTCCCAGTGGGTTTTTTATTCTATTCCTAAACATGTCAGAAGATTGTGATCACACAGCCACTCACCATCCCAGCAGCCCCAGTCTTTTCCAGGGCTACCCAGGTTCCTTCAAGAATAGACACTCTTGGCACATTACTCCTACTGAATACAGACCCTGATGGTTGATGTCCACGCAAATCATGTTACTTCTCTATTTACCTGAACCTCATTTTTGTGTTTCCAGTCATTTCTTCTAAGAGGGAAGCACGATAAAAGCTAGTGTATATGTGCACTGTAAATCAGGAGATCTCCTGTAGCTCTGATGTTCCATTCTTTAGTTGTATGGCTTTGAACCTCTTTATTTTTCTCTTCGAGCTGTGGTTGTGACTGACTTCTATGGTTCTATGCATTATTTTGTATAAATTTAGACATATCTACCTGATGAATACTGGTTTATAGGAATAAAAGATATAGAATATCACTCCTTAAAAGAACCTGATAGTTCTTTTGAGTTATTTTAAGAATTTTTTAAAATAAGACTTTATTTTTTAGAGTCAGCAAAATTGAGAGGAAAGTACAGAGATAGCCCTTATACTCTCTTCTCCCCCACATGCACAGCCTTCCTCATTATCAACATCCCCTACCAGAGTGGTGCATTTGTTACAGTTGCTCATTTTACATTGACACATCATAATCACACAAAGTCCATAGTTTACATTATGGTTCGCTGTTTGTATGTGTGTTGTACCTTCTATGGGTTTAGACAAATGTAAAATGACATGCATCCATTACTATGAGATCATGCAGAGTATTTTTACTGCCCTAATAATCCTCTGTGTTCCACTTATTTATCCACCCACCCCAAGCCCTGCCAACCACTGATCCTCTTACTATCTCCATAGTTTTTTTTTTGTCTTTTCCAAAATGTCATAAAGTTGGAATCATATAGTACATAAGAAAACTTTTCAGATTGGCTTCCTTCACTTTAAAACTTGCATTTAAGCTTTCTTCATGTCTTTTCATGGCTAATAGCTCATTTATTTTTAACGCTGAATAATATTTCATGTCTGGATATACCACCATTTATTTATCCATTCACCTACTGTAGAACACCTTGGCTGCTTCCAAGTTTTGGCAATCATGAACAAAGTGTGCATGTTTTTGTATGGACATAAGTTTTTAACTCCTTTGGGTAAATAACAAGAAGCATAATTTCTGGATCATATAGTGAGAAACCGCCAAACTGTTTAGTTTTGTAAGAAACCACCAAACTGGCCTCCAAAATGTCTGTAACATTTTTCATTCCTGCAGCAATAAATGAGAGCTCCCGTTGCTCCATACCCTCCTCAGCATCTGGTGTTGTCAGTGTTCTGGGTTTTGGCCATTTTAATACCTGTGTAGTGTTATTTCATTGTTGTTTTAGTTTCTCTGATGTCATATGATGTGGAGCATCTTTTCGTATGCTTATTTGCCATCTGTATTTCTTCTTTGATGAGGTGTCTGTTAAAATATTTGGCCAATTTTTAAATCAGGTTGTTAGTTTTCTTATTATTGAGTTTTAAAAGTTTTTGTACATTTTGGAAACAGTCCTTTATCATATGTGTCTTTTGCAAATATTTTTTCCCAGTCTATGGCTTGTCTTCTCATTTTCTTGACATGTTCTTTGACAGAGCAAAAGTTTTTAATTTTAATAAAGTCCAGCTTCATTAAAATTCATGGATCCAGTTTCGTGGATCATGCCTTTTTTGTTGGATCTGGAAAGTCATTGCCATACCCAAGAGATTCCTAGGCTTTCTCTTATGTTACCCTCTAAGGGTTTTATAGTTTTGTATTTTACATTTTGGTCTGTAATACGTTTGGAGTTAATTTTTGTGAAGGGTGAGGGTCTGTGTCTAGATTCTCTTTTTTGCTTTGGGTGTCCAGTTTTTCCATCACCATTTGTTGAAAAGACTGTTTTTGATCCATTGTATTGCCTTTGCTCTTTGGTCAAAGATCCGTTCACTACATTTATGTGGGTCTATTTCTGGGTCTATTCTATTCCATTGATCTGTATGTCTGTTACTTTGTCAAAATGACACTGTCTTAATGATGGCAGCTTTATAGCAAGTCTTAAAGTCGATTAGTTTCAGTTCTCCAACTTTGTTTTTCTCTTTCAGTATTGTGTTGGTTATTCTTGGTCTTCTCCATGTAAACCTTACAACCAGTTTGTTGGTATCCATAAAATAGCATGCTGAGATTTTGATTGATATTGCATTAAATCTATAGATCAAGTTGGAAATAACTGAAATATTCACAGTGTTGATTCTTCCTATCCATGAACATAGAATATCTCTTCACTTTTTAAGTTCTCCTTTGACTTTGTTCATCAGAGTTTTATAATTTTTTTCATACACATTTTGTACATATTTTGTTAGATTTATATCTAAGTATTTCAGTTTTGTGGATGCTAATGTAATTTGTTTTTAATTTCAAATTCTACTTGTTCACTGTTAAACTATTTTAGAGATTTTAGGATTTTAGGAAACTTTTTAAAAATCAGGGCAATTAAATTTTTCATGAAATCATTTAATCCATTTATATCTATACATAGAGGTGTGTGGCTGTGTATAACTATTGTTAAAACTTTATATTTTACTAACGAGTTTTTATACTATTTCATTATACTTTAAAAACTCATCTTTTATTAAAAGCTTATCATTTTTTTCTATTTTTCATGAGATACAAATTTTCTCAACGTAGTCTGATTTTACTAAATTTGAAGATATTATCAAATTGTAAATTGGACTTAAATCATTTTTAGTTTGTATTAAATTTTGCACATTTACTTCACATTTACATTTTATTAGAAAATCTGATAGACAATATTTTTGTGTGCAGTTATGTATATTTGGAGTTATATACTTAAATGTAATTTTTAAAAACTCAAAGTCTGTGCACCAATATGTTATTTTTCTAATTGCTTTGAAAGAGTATTTATATTTCAATTAAAAATAGAAGAATTTGCCAATAAAAGACAATTTCTGTACATCAAACAGGTACTTAAAAACTGAATTTATTTGACCCTAATATAATTTGACCCTCCATACAACTCCCTTTTGCACTATATTTATTCTCCCTTATGTCCTAGTAAATAGCAATTTATTAAAAATTATAGCTTGGGAAATTTATTGATAAACCTTGCCTATCTCCAGCAGAATATCTTGGGTTAAACCAAACACTATAAGAGATAACTAGTTCTTTGTTAACAAACTTGTCTTCACACCAGGAACAATTGATGGGTTATTTTTATAATGTCTGTTTGTCAAGTTTGGCCTAGATTTCCTTTTGAATATAAAAATTTATTTCATTTGTGATTGGAAATCAAAAGTCCCAAAGATCCATATGAAAAAGCTGATATCATTCAAAGGGAGACTCTATCAAGATCATAGATGTCATTAAATTCTAGAGATGAGCTCTTTACTTCACTAGATAAGTATACTAATATAATATGTATAATACTAATATTAGCCACTGATACTTAATTTTTGTAGGGATATTTAAGGATATTTAGTTGAACCACATAAGAATCTGACTCTTGTTTATACCTAGCATATTTTGGGTTTGGTTTGGGTTTTGTTTAGTAATCCCAGTGAAGACCTCCCTTTCTAGACTAAACTTGAATTTAGGGGGTAGCTTTAAATGACACATTTTGAGTCAATATGCAGAAAAACACTCTATCTCCATTTAACTATTATTTCTAAACTGTAAATTTAGGATTGCAACAAGCATAGCCATTCCCTCTGTCAAATACCTCCTTCTTCTAACCTCTCACTCTGGGTCTTTTTAGAATAAAATAGAATGAGGAGGAGAATATAGAGCTGTATGAATACAAGCATAGCTTCAGTCATCCTTCTTGTGGTATGGTTTTCCTTTCGTCACAATTCTTGATCTTTGAACATTTCTCCAAATTATCTAAGTCTCCTCTAAAATGTAGTTCCCAGAACTAAATGCAGCCTCTAAAGGGAATTCCAACCCATCTGAAGGAGGATCATTAACTCCATTGTTTTGTAGCCCATGATTGCATTCGCATTTTGGCACTTGCCAGGCATTTGACACATATGTAGCCTATTTTAGGTCAACTTTTTCTAACATATGTCCACAGAACTAGTGTCTAAGGTTAAAAAAAAATAAAAACACCTGGTTACACAGTTAATCCTTTAGAATTGTTTGACATATATTTTTTCATAATTTTTCAAAGACCATAACCTGTGATTTGAAATACTTATCTATGAGGTTTCTCAGTACTCGATTATGTTACTCTTCTATTACAGAGTCTTGAGGTCGGTTTAGAGTCACCAGGTCCTCTCAAAATCCTATCACTGGTTTAGCTTTAGACTTTCACTTACCAATATCTATCCTACCATTTTATAAACTTTTATTCCTCTCAAAATTGTTCTCTGAGTCTAGACAAAATCAGAGTCATGTAATTTTGTTTTGCTTCTTTAATAGATTACTACCACAAGCCCAAATAATAACAAAAACAGCAATAAATCTGCACTTTGCTGATAAAAACACTTTAGCATACATGATTTATCTTCCTTTTCTTCTTGCCCCAAACGTAATGTCAAAGGTCCTTATGGGTGTTGCAATTCTGATCTTATTACAGGTTTTGGAATTTTGGTTAACATTCCTAGGTGTTTTTTGCAATGTTATGAATTCATTCTGTCTTGTGTATTTCTAATTTTTGTTCCTAAAAATCTAGACACATTGGAGAGCTTCCTCTGCATCAGAGAGCAACTGGAATACAAATCTATATTCTTCTGTCTTGTTAGAAATGTATGGAATTATAAACTCAGAATTACTTTGAACTTTTGTCTGTTAGCACTTTCCCAGGTTCCTTAACTGCTTCTTTTCTCCAACCTAAAGAGCTCATCTCCAGGCTCACATCTGGGTTCCATGGAACCAGATCTGCTGCTAATTTGATAGCTTTACCTGCCAATGGTCATTCTAAGGGCACTACATTTCCATAAACTCTTCTGCCTTTTTCATCTCATATTTAGAAAGATGATACTGAGAAGACAGGGAAATCAAGTAGGAAGCTATTGGGCTAATCCAGGATGATATAATGATAAAAATCTGCCTTAGGAAGCATTAGGAGAATTAGCAGGAAATGTAGTAATCATCTACCACAGTTAAGCACTTTTTTTTATAGCTAGGGAACCATACAAACAAAAGTGTTAGAGTTTTCCATTTTCTCCAAAAACATGTAAGATAGCAATTTTTGAGAGGGATTTGAAAACATGCTAGTGATTTGTTGATTATCAACAGATTTTAGGATCTTTATGTATATTAAGATAATAAAGACTTTTAATACTGTGAAATCATCTACTGTACCTTTGACAGGCTAGTGACAATGTCACTTACTTCTGTGTAATTCTTTTTTCCTGTAGAAAGGATATACATTCGTGGCTGAAGCATATACTGGTGATGTGTATGTAACATCCTCACGATGGAAAATGCGCCTCATTGGTTCTTATCATCCACTCCCATGTCTGTCTCGAGATACTCCATGTAATACCTTTGCCATAAAGGAAATCAGAGATTACTACATACCCAATGATAAGAAAATTGTATTCAGGTATGTGACAGAAAGGAAATGCATTCCTTTGAAAATATTAATAATTTTTGTATTAAATAATTGACTTTAAATTTAAATATTTTAAATGTTAATATTATGAAAATCAATACATTTTCTGTAAAATCCTGGGTGAATTTTGAACTTCACTTTTATACTCTTTTGGAAACAACATAGAGAGTAATGTGATTATATAAATGTTATATAAGATCAAGCCTATGTTGCTTAGTTTCTTAGTCCTCATCGTATTTGACTTTCATTGAACATCCTAACACTCTTCCCTCTTTTTACTCTCTCCTCGTTCTGTTCCATCTCTAACTCTTCTCTTGTGTAGGTTTCTCCTTATCTGCCAACTCATCCTTCTTTTCATACGTATTTATATATTCTCCATGAATAGCCTCATCATGGACTCCACTCTCTTTCATTAATCAGCCCTTTTGATTCTCATTCCCTCATACCTCTCATCTCTATGCCCTCCTCTTTATTCTCAATGTCCTCCACTACTTCAGGGCCTCATTATATTTTGTCTATAGAAATGCTGTGTCCATGTCTCCATTATATTCACTCTTCATTTTTAACTATTTCTCTGTCTCTCTCACCTTATTCATTTACATATCCATCCTTTACTACCAGAGTAGTTACCTTTCTAACAAACACATTTACATATGTGATTTCCCGTCTTTAAAATTTTGGACAAATTTCCATTGGCTGTAAAGTAAAATCCAAGCCACAAACACTCCTGCCCAGCCTCCCAACACACTGTGCACTCTCTTGATGGAGCTATGGACCAACTCCTGACATATTTGTGATGTGATTTTATCTTGCCCATGCCTTTCCTCTTATCTTGTTATATTCTGTCTCCATTTTTCCACCTAGCAAAATTTATCACTTTTAAGGATCACTTTCAAGAGTCAAATCTTTTATACCCAAACCTCCAAATATAACTAGTTAGTCCTGGTCGTGTTTCTATAGTCTTTGGTTCTTTCTGAGAATGTGACATATCAAATTTTATCTGGTTAATTTCACATCCACCTCCATGAGAATTAACATTTATTGGAGGCAGGAACCATGTCTTATCAATACAGGACGTATTGATATATGCCTGACACGTAGTTGGCCTTCATTAAATGTTGTTAAATGTTCATTAAATGAGTTGTTAGAATACTTGTCTTCTCTTTTCATATATTTTTTCTATGCAGAAAGTTTGGCAAATATGTTATTTATTAAGGAAATAAAAATCACACATAATCAAACAGCCTAGAAACTATCATTGTTAGTATTCTATTGTATTTTCTTAGAATGTTTTTTCTAGTCACAGTTTAACATTATTAAAATCATAACATAATTATAAAGTTTTATAATCTGACTTTTTACTTAACATTATAGTGTTAACATTTCCCAATGCCGTTAAGATATTTTGTGAACTCTTTTTCATGATTATCTAATAATTATTCATATGAATATACAAGTTTTTTGGTTATTGGTTATTCCCTGTTATTACAAATTTCCTTTTCTACTTTTTCTACAGTATTAATAGAGATATGATGGGCATATTTTATTGTAAATATTAAAGAAAATTTCTGATTATTGTCTAAAGATTTATTGTTTTAAGGAGATTAAATATTTTAAAGAAACCATACATATTGGTAAATTGGTTTTCAAAAGTAAAACCCAAGTCTTTCTGACAGTATAGGCACAAATAATAATTCATTGTATTCTGGCTGATTTTTCTCTATAATTAATATTTATTTGTTCCTTAAAATCTTTTTCCCTTTAACAAACATGCTCACATTTTTTGCAAAGAAAGATAATCAACAACAAAACTAAATTACAGAACAATATATACAGTATATCCCAAGTATATTTTCTTTTTTTTTCCTTTTTAATATCTTTATTGGAGTATAATTGCTTTACGATGGTGTGTTAGTTTCTGCTTTATAACATAGTGAATCAGTTATATATATATGTTCCCATATCTCTTCCCTCTTGCGTCTCCCTCCCTGCCACACTCCTTATGCCACCCCTCTAGGTGGTCACAAAGCACTGAGCCGACCTCCCTGTGCTATGCGGCTGCTTCCCACTAGCTATCTATTTTACGTTTGGTAGTGTATATATGTCCATGCCACTCTCTCACTTTGTCACAGCTTACCCTTCCCCCTCCCCATATCCTCAAGTCCATTCTCTAGTAGGTCTGTGTCTTTATTCCCGTCTTGCCCCTAGGTTCTTCATGACATTTTTTTTTTCTTAGATTCCATATATATGTGTTAGTATACGGTATTTGTTTTTTTCTTTCTGACTTACTTCACTGTGTATGACAGACTCTAGGTCCATCTACCGCACTACAAATAACTCAATTTCGTTTCTTTTTATGGCTGAGTAATATTCCATTGTATATATGTGCCACATCTTCTTTATCCACTCACCTGTTGATGGACACTTAGGTTGCTTCCATGTCATGGCTATTGTAAATAGAGCTGCAATGAACATTTTGGTACGTGACTCTTTTTGAATTATGGTTTTCTCAGGGTATACGCCCAGTAGTGGGATTGCTGGGTCATATGGTAGTTCTATTTGTAGTTTTTTAAGGAAACTCCATACTGTTCTCCATAGTGGCTGTATCAATTTACATTCCCACCAACAGTGCAAGAGTGTTCCCTTTTCTCCACACCCTCTCCAGCATTTATTGTTTCTAGATTTTTTGATGATGGCCATTCTGACCAGTGTGAGATGATATCTCATTGTAGTTTTGATTTGCATTTCTCTAATGATTAATGATGTTGAGCATTCTTTCATGTGTTTGTTGGCAATCTGTATATCTTCTTTGCAGAAGTGTCTATTGAGGTCTTCTGCCCATTTTTGGATTGGGTTGGTTTTTTTTTTGATATTGAGCTGCATGAGCTGCTTGTAAATTTTGGAGATTAATCCTTTGTCAGTTGCTTCATTTGCAAATATTTTCTCCCATTCTGAGGGTTGTCTTTTGGTTTTGTTTATGGTTTCCTTTGCTGTGCAAAAGCTTTGAAGTTTCATTAGGTCCCATTTGTTTATTTTTGCTTTTATTTCCATTTCTCCAGGAGGTGGGTCAAAAAGGATCTTGCTGTGATTTATGTCATAGAGTGTTCTGCCTGTTTTCCTCTAAGAGTTTGATAGTGTCTGGCCTTACATTTAGGTCTTTAATCCATTTTGAGTTTATCTTTGTGTATGGTGTTCCGAGTATATTTTCTTATGTTTATAGTTGTTTATATATTTTATATACAGGTAAAATTTTAGAGAAAATACTAAACAAAAGCACATAAACTGAGGGCAATAAAAGGGTTGAAGAATTCTCTTTTTAATCTATCTGCTTCTTGTAATATATTTGCATACTGCCTATTAGAAGCAAAAAAAAAAAAAAAAAAAGGAGAGAAGGAAGGAAATGTGCCAGTAACTAAAAATAACAATTGTGATAAAGTATTTTAACTACTTTGATAGGAAACCATTGTATCACACAGCAGGGCCACTATTAGACTCAGTGATATTGAACCCAATACCTAAATTAGTCATAGCAGCTGGTCCTAAATCTGTCAGGATGAGTTGAGAGGAAGGTGAGGAGAGAACTGCTTGAGTAGCACATGTAAAAATTCAGAAATTAGAGAGAATATGACCTTTTCAGTATGATCTTTGTTTTGTTTGCAAAATGGGGTTCTAGGGTGCTATAGCAAGAAGTAAGATCCAGAGGTTGGCAGGGCCCTTTCCTGAAGGGTCTCAAGGCAAGAAGAGATTCAGATTTAACCGTAGAGGCACTGAGATGCTTTGGAGGATTTTAAGAAAAATGGCATTAATAGACTGTGTTAAAACATTATGTCTGCAACGTATGAATTGAAAAAGTACTCTAAATATAATTTCTAAGAACAGAAAAATTATTGTTATGAAATTATATGTAATCATAAAAGGTACAAAACATGAAACAAAAAGGAAAAAAAGCTCACTCGGAAGACTGCAGTGTGTTGTATGGATGAAGGGAAACATAACTGGAGACAGGGAAACCAGCCACGTAGAAGTTGCAGAATAACCCAGGTGTGTGATCATGGCAAGTGAAATAAGTCAGTGTATTTGTTTGCTAAGGCTGCCATAACAAAGGCCCACAAACTGGCAAAGTAGGTGGCTTACACAACAGAAATCCTGACTCTACAAGTCTGAGATCAAAGTACCAGCTGGACTGATTCCTACTGAGGGCTGAGAGGGAGAAGATGCACCATGCCTTCTGCTAGCTTCTAGGGGGTTCTGGTCATTGGCATTCTTTGACTCGTAGATTTATTACCCTGGTCTTTCTGTTCCTCTTCACGCACCATTCTCCTTGTGTCTCTCTGTCTCCAAACTTCCCCTTTTCATAAGGACCTCATTTTAACTTGATTATCTCTGGGAGATAATATCTCTAAGAATGGTGACATTGTGAGGGGCTGGGGGTTAGGACTCCAGCATGTTTTTGAGGGGGACACAATTTAACCCATAACAGGCAGTGACAATGAATCTAGAGGAACGAGAAAGGATTTTAAGGTACCAAGGAAGTAAAATTGAGAGCGTTGGTTGATTGGGGTTTGACTTGGGGAACTGTTGGACAGTAAGTGTCATTTACTTAGTTAGAGGTTACAGGAAGAGAACCCCATTGGCTGGTTGGGCAACAGAAAGACAATAAATTCTTTTTCTTTTTTTAAAATTTTTTTTGGCTGCACTGAGCCTTCCTTTCTGCGTGCGGGCTTTCTCTATTTGCGGTGAGCGGGGGCTACTCTTCGTTGCAGTGTGCGGGCTTCTCATTGAGGTGGCTTCTCGTTGCAGAGCACAGGCTCTAGGCACGCAGGCTTCAGTAGTTGTGGCTCACGGGCTCTAGAGCGCAGGCTCAGTAGTTGTGGTGCACGGGCTTAGCTGCTGTGTGGCATGTGGGATCTTCCCGGACCAGGGATCGAACCCGTGTCCCCTGCATTGGCAGGCGGATTCTTAACCACTGTGCCACCAAGGAAGTCCTAAGTCATTTTTAGGTGTTAAACATGGTAGACCAGTGAAATGTCCAAGGGATACTCCACAGGGGAGTCGGGCTGGAGGCACAGATTTGGAACTCATTATTCTGTTTCTGCCCATGGAAGTGCCCAGGAAAGTTTGTACAAAGAGAGTCAGATCCAGGACAGAATATTAAGATTCTCTGATATGTATGGGAATGTCAATGTGAGAGAAGTCTAAAAGTAGCACCCCTGAAATAGGAAGTACAAAAGTTATTATGCTCATGGAGAAAAGTTTTTGAAGAAAGAGAAAATGAGGGTTGATTCGACTTTGTCAGATTCTCCTAACAGTTCAGGAAGATGAGAACTGAGGTTTCTATAGGGTGGTGACAAGGTGCTTGACACCATGGCAAGAGCAAGTTTAGCACCTTGGTTGGGGGCAGAGTGGAGCGCTGTGAGCTAGTGGGAGGTGATGAGCCGAGGACAGTGGAAGTTGACAACTCTCCTTAGATTGTTAGCTGGGGAATAAAATAGAGCCGAGACTGGTCAACAGGGTTGATTGAAGTTTTTTTTTTTCGGTTTGTTTTTTTTTGTTTTGATCTGTCTTTCAGTGGGTGAGAACTGCACAGGTACAAAAGCCAATATCAAGGAGAAATAGTGGGGAAATTTAAGATAAGGAAGAGAGAAGATAGAAAAGCAAGTTTCTAGAGAAATTGAAAGTTTATAGGGTCCTGAACATTTGCAAAGATTCACCTAAAGTAGGAAAGAACCTCAACAAAACAAGAAACCTCTTAGACTGCATTAAGGAAGGAGTTGGGAAGGAATTAGACTGCACATTTCCAGTCTTTTTTGTAAGAGGTTCCCAACCGGCTTGGTTAAAGGGTGGGAGCACAAGCGACAGGTACTACTTCTGACTTCTCTGTATTTTTGTGAAAGAAAATACTGTTAACAGTATTTAACAAACACTGTTAACAGTGAGGTTTTGAAAGCTACTGCCAGTTGTGCTTTTTGTCCCACTAGAGAGGAGGGCGTAATGGAAAGGTTTGATGTGGCAGTAGTTTGCAGTCTATCAAGTTTTATAAGTGAGTGCTTATTATATCTAAATAAAAAGCTACATTTTCTGTTTGGGATATGATGATAATAAACATCCTATATTTAACTTCATTTTATCACAGCATACTGGGATCTTTTGCCAAAGTCTATAATAGCACTAATATTTCCAGGATTTTAACTGACTTTATAAAGTGGTTTTACTTGTAGATTATCATATCAGCAAATGATACAGTTTCTTTTAGTCATCTGAAGGAAAGACCAGCATACTTGTTTATAAAAGTGAATGTTTTTCTTTATAGGTATTCAGTTAAAGTTGCATTACCACATCCTGTTACAATACAGGTACGCACGTCCAAACCAGATGCATTCATCAAGCTACAGATCCTAGAAAATGAAGAAGTTATCGTGAGCTCCACTGGGAAGGGCCAAGTTATCATTCCAGCAATTAACCTCTTGGGGAATGAGAAAGCCTTGAGCACCCAGTGTAAGTGTGGCTTTTAGAATTGGTTTAGATTCATAAACAGATATTTATGTTTATGTAACTGATTTTCTAAATGTTTTAAGATAAAATAGCAAGTAAACATTTAATTGCTAAAATTTAATATCATAATGGGAAATATTTTTTAAAAACTATTGCTTTTGTGTGCCAAATTAGTCTCTGAAGATCAACAGATTTGTTACAACTGTACTTTAAAAATTATTACCTGAACCTTCTTAGACTTCTGAATAAGAAATAGATTTTTATTACTTTGAAAACTTTTTTTACTTTTATTCCCAATGCATTATTTTTAGAAAATATTCTACTTATTAAAATTAACAGAAACTTTGAAGTTATTACTTGCAATGTAATAGTCACAGGGGCTTTTTTTTTTTTAATTGGGGTATAATTGCTTTACAATGGTGTGTTCGTTTCTGCTTTATAACAAAGTGAATCAGTTATACATATACATATACATATGTTCCCATATCTCTTCCCTCTTGGGTCTCTCTCCCTCCCACCCTCCCTATCCCACCCCTCCAGGCGGTCAAAAAGCACCGAGCTGATCTCCCTGTGCTATGCGGCTGCTTCCCACTAGCTATCTACCTTAGGTTTGGTAGTGTATATATGTCCAGGCTTCTCTCTTGCTTTGTCACAGCTCACCCTTCCCGCCCCCCCATATCCTCAAGTCCATTCTCTAGTAGGTCTGTGTCCTTAGTCCTGTCTTACCCCTAGGTTCTTCATGAACCTTTTTTTTCTTAAATTCCATATATATGTGTTAGCATACGGTATTTGTCTTTCTCTTTCTGACTTATTTCACTCTGTATGACAGACTCTAGGTCTATCCACCTCATTACAAATAGCTCAATTTCGTTTCTTTTTATGGCTGAGTAATATGCCATTGTATATATGTGCCACATCTTCTTTATCCATTCATCCGATGATGGGCACTTAGGTTGTTTCCATCTCTGGGCTATTGTAAATAGAGCTGCAACGAACATTTTGGTACATGACTCTTTTTGAATTATGGTTTTCTCAGGGTATATGCCCAGTAGTGGGATTGCTGGGTCATATGGTAGTTCTATTTGTAGTTTTTTAAGGAAACTCCATACTGTTCTCCATAGTGGCTGTACCAATTCACATTCCCACCAGCAGTGCAAGAGTGTTCCCTTTTCTCCACACCCTCTCCAGCATTTATTGTTTCTAGATTTCTTGATGATGGCCATTCTGAGTGGTGTGAGATGATATCTCATTGTAGTTTTCATTTGCATTTCTCTAATGATTAATGATGTTGAGCATTCTTTCATGTGTTTGTTGGCAGTCTGTATATCTTCTTTGGAGAAATGTCTATTTAGGTCTTCTGCCCATTTTTGGATTGGGTCGTTTGTTTTTTTGTTATTGAGCTGCATGAGCTGCTTGTAAATTTTGGAAATGAATCCTCTGTCAGTTGCTTCATTTGCAAATATTTTCTCCCATTCTGAGGGCTGTCTTTTGGTCTTATTTATGGTTTCCTTTGCTGTGCAAAAGCTTTGAAGTTTCATTAGGTCTCATTTTTTAATTTTTGTTTTTATTTCCATTTCTCTAGGAGGTGGGTCAAAAAGGATCTTGCTGTGATTTATGTCATAGAGTGTTCTGCCTATGTTTTCCTCTAAGAGTTTGATAATTTCTGGCCTTACATTTAGGTCTTTAATCCATTTTGAGCTTATTTTTGTGTATGGTGTTAGGGAGTGATCTAATCTCATACTTTTACATGTACCTGTCCAGTTTTCCCAGCACCACTTATTGAAGAGGCTGTCCTTTCTCCACTGTACATTCCTGCCTCCTTTATCAAAGATAAGGTGACCATATGTACATGGGTTTATCTCTGCGCTTTCTATCCTGTTCCATTGATCTATCTTTCTGTTTTTGTGCCAGTACCATACTCTCTTGATTACTGTAGCTTTGTAGTATAGTCTGAAGTCAGGGAGCCGGATTCCTCCAGCTCCATTTTTCGTTCTCAAGATTGCTTTGGCTATTCCGGGTCTTTTGTGTTTCCATACAAATTGTGAAATTTTTTATTTTAGTTCTGTGAAAAATGCCAGTGATAGTTTGATAGGGATTGCACTGAATCTGTAGATTGCTTTGGGTAGTAGAGTCATTTTCACAATGTTGAATCTTCCAATCCAAGAACATGGTATATCTCTCCACCTATTTGTATCATCTTTAATTTCTTTCATCAGTGTCTTATAATTTTCTGCATACAGGTCTTTTGTCTCCTTCGGTAGGTTTATTCCTAGATATTTTATTTTTTTTGTTGCAATGGTAAATGGGAGTGTTTTCTTGATTTCAGATTTTTCATCATTAGTGTATAGGAATGCCAGAGATTTCTGTGTATTAATTTTGTATCCTGCTACTTTACCAAATTCATTTTAGCTCTAGTAGTTTTCCTGTCACATCTTTAGGATTCTCTATGTATAGTATCATGTCATCTGCAAACAGTGACAGCTTTACTTCCTCTTTTCCAATTTGGATTCCTTTTATTTCCTTTTCTTCTCTGATTGCTGTGGCTAAAACTTCCAATACTACGTTGAATAAGAGTGGTGAGAGTGGGCAACCCTGTCTTCTTCCTGATCTTAGTGGAAATGCTTTCAGTTTTTCACCATTGAGGATGATGTTGGCTGTGGGTTTGTCATATATGGCCTTTATTATGTTGAGGAAAGTTCCCTCTATGCCTACTTTCTGCAGGGTTTTTATCATAAATGGGTGTTAAATTTTGTCAAAAGCTTTCTCTGCATCTATTGAGATGATCATATGGTTTTTCTCCTTCAATTTGTTAATATGGTTTATCACATTGATTGATTTGCATATATTGAAGAATTCTTGCATTCCTGGAATAAACCCCACTTGATCATGGTGTATGATCCTTTTAATGTGCTCTTGGATTCTGTTTGCTAGTATTTTGTTGAGGATTTTTGCATCTATGTTCATCAGTGATATTGGCCTGTAGTTTTCTTTCTTTGTGACATCCTTGTCTGGTTTTGGTATCAAGGTGATGGTGGCCTCGTAGAAGGAATTTGGGAGTGTTCCTCCCTCTGCTATATTTTGGAAGAGTTTGAGAAGGATAGGTGTTAGCTCTTCTCCAAATGTTTGATAGAATTCGCCTGTGAAGCCATCTGGTCCTGGGCTTTTGTTTGTTGGAAGATTTTTAATCACAGTTTCAATTTCAATGCTTGTGATTGGTCTGTTCATATTTCCTATTTCTTCCTGATTCAGTCTTGGCAGGTTGTGCATTTCTAAGAATTTGTCCATTTCTTCCAGGTTGTCCATTTTATTGGCATAGAGTTGCTTGTAGTAATCTCTCATGATCTTTTGTATTTCTGCAGTGTCAGTTGTGACTTCTCCTTTTTCATTTCTAATTCTATTGATTTGAGTCTTCTCCCTTTTTTTCTTGATGTGTCTGGCTACACAGGACCTTTAATAAACAAATTATTTCTGAAATAATGGACAACAGTGATACTCTGAGATATATTCAGTTTTTTGTTTTTTGTTTTTGCGGTACGTGGGCCTCTCACTATTGTGGCCTCTCGCGTTGCGGAGCACAGGCTCCAGACACGCAGGCTCAGTGGCCATGGCTCACGGGCCCAGCCGCTCTGCAGCATGTGGGATCTTCCCTGACCAGGGCACGAACCCGTGTCCCCTGCATCGGCAGGTGGACTCTCAAACACTGTGCCACCAGGGAAGCCCTATTCAGTTATTTTAAGAACTTGATTCTGAGTATAAAAATAACACATGTCCAATGTAGAAAAATTGAAAAATAGAAAATTTGAACAATGCAACAAGAAATCCCTTGTAATCATGCAGAAAAAATACTGTTAGTATTTTAGCTTTTATGCCTCCATTGTCTATTTTTGCATTCTCATTTTAAACAAAACTATGATTTTACCAATTTTGGTAATTGATATTTCTTCTTAAAAGTTTAACTTTTTCTTATTTGGCATTGGTTGGGAATCTCCAAACCTATGTTAAATAAGAGTGATGATGATATATTTCCTTTTCTTAAATAGAAAGGCTTATAGCATTTAAGTATTAAGTATTATGTTTGTTACTGACTTCTAATAATTGCCCTTTTGAACATCTAAGGAAGTTTTTCTATTGATAGCTAAGAATTTTAATATGGGATGGGTTTGGAACTTTATTAATTACTTTATTGTTTATAGAAATCATCAAATGTTATCCCTTTGAATTTCATAAATTAATTTTTAATTTGGAATCATTCTTGAAATAAAACCTATTTGTCTATAATATTTTAATAAATTCCTATGTTTAGAATATACTATTTTATTTAGTTTGTTAGATCATATTTTCTCTTTAACTTTTAACATTTATAATATTTTTACAATTTCCAAATAACTCTTTTGGCTAGTCTTCTGTTGTTAACATCTTAATAAATTTTTTGGAGTTAGAAAGTGTGGCTGTATATTTTCTATTTTGAGGATTGCGTAGATGTTTTTACTGTGGTGTAATTCAAATCAGTTTTGGTTAGTGTTACACTTAGGTTTATAAAGAACACATGCTCTATTCTGGAGGTAAATAATTTGATGTCTAAATACACACACACACACTCTCTGTACATTTATATATATGTACATATATATATAAAATAAAAGTTGGTAGCTGAAATATCTAAAAATTTAAATTGTCATTTACGTTTCATCTTACTGGCTTGTAAATTTATGAAAAAGTAAAATGTAAAAATTTATCTCTAATATTTTTCATTTTACCTATTTCTATATTACATTGCTAGTTGCATAAAGTTCTACATTTGCTTTACATTTACTGATATGTTGTATTTTTAAAATGAATGTAAAGCAGTCTTTTTTCAACTTTAATAGATTGTCTGACATTAACACTTGTTCTTCCATTTGTTATCATTTGCATGTTCATTTTGGTTCATACATTTAGTTTTTCAACCTTTCTCTTATAAATGGATATTTTTTTCCACTCAATCCAAGACTCTAGTCTCTGAA